TGCAAAGCATACAGAGCGTTGTTTGCTGCTTTACAAGGATGCGAAAGTCTTGGGATTTTCTCCCCTTTCTCTTTCTCTCCCCTGAGTCAGGAATGAGCGAAGCGAGCTTTCCCTCTTTCTCCCCACGTGCAGTTTAGTTTAGTGCTCAATTCAATAGTTGATGCTGCAACCTTAAAGTGTTCAAAGGCGCCTTTTGTTCTCCACACTATTCCAGTATTTAAGCTCAATTTCAAAATTCACAGTTTTCTTTTTGCCTTGTTCATCCTTCACCGTTGAACGGGAACGAAGCAGAGAATAGAACAGAACACGGCATTGTGGGTCTATTTGAGCAGAAACTGAAAACTTATTCCTTGAAGAAAAGTTTTCCTTCTCCCTCAACCTACTTCATCATTGTCATCACACCCGTAAAATATCCACCTTTGAAGAGAGAACATTGAAAACTTGGAAACTTTGAATTGAACACTTAGTTGGTGGAGATAAACCGAGAGAGAGGAGAGAGCATGGAGAGAATAGAATACGCGTTTTTAGTGAGGCGGAAGTAATATGGAAGTGCATATGGTTGCCATCAACGTAATGGGTGTGGAATCGTCAGCCACCATAATATTGTACTTCCTTACTACAGACGTATCTCATATTTGGTTTGGCATCCAGATTCAAAAATTACAACTGGAGAATAATCTCAAGTGGTACACGAAAATGCGTGCAGGTTTTCTCCGTATTTTATAGCAAAATAAAATAAGTGTATATGTATGGACAAATAAATGTACATATACGTACAATTTTACGCATGCACATACAAATATATATTTATAAGTGCATTTTGTTTGTTCTCTTATACTTCTTACATACGCTTTAGCACATGAGAACAATTCTCATGACAAATTGCAGATTTGTATATCTAGTATTGCATCATTGTATAAACAATGGATAAAGCGCTAGTGTCATTTTCTTGCCAAATTAACAACAATAATTGGCTGTTTCTGTGTCCCATTGGAGGTATAAAATCCACAATCGACAATCTTACACACTAGGCGAAAACTTGTTGTTTATTTTATGGGCGTGGTGGTTGGTTCAATGCTTGCTTGGAAGTTTGGTGACACAAACAGGTAATCCACTTATCTTTAGTAAAGTGCAATATCATTTCAAGAGGACCCAGTGGGACATCCTTTGCGCTGACGAAACAATGCGAAACACACAGCAACGAGGCAATTCTGTCGAGAGAGGAAACATAACAAAACAAAAGCAAGGACATGTTTTCCTCAACAATAGTTTTCATCTCACTTAATACTAGACTCATAATAGGAAGAAGCCAAACTTGAAGAAGCAGATAATAATATTGCAGATGTGTATGAATGAATCCGCATTCCCAAACAAAGCCAAGTGAAAGCATTCTTTCCTGTTCTTCTGTATTTCCTACTTGACTGAGGACAGAAATAGGGAAATATTTCTAGGAAATTGCGAATGTTATTGTATTGTGACTCTGAGGAGAGTCTCCTCTCCTCAGCGCCGAGGTCTTTGAATTTCTCGTTTGTTCTATTTCCAAATCTCTCCTCCTCAAGCCACCTGGGCCAAATAAATATAAACCCTTCCTGCTCGTCCTCTTCTTATTCTCTCTATTAGATTTATTGCTCAAGTCGCCCTGCTAAATCCTTCCGATCTTGCAAAGTAAACCACGAGCAAGAAGTAGAAGCCAAGCCCTGCCTGAACTCTGCTCTTGTAGACAAATCCAAACAAAGAAAGCAAAAGTGAGTCGAGTCGGCATTTAGTTTGGTTTACTTGGAGGAGGAAGAGCAGGAAAATAAATAAACCGCAGTTTAGTTTCTCTGATTTGCGGTCTCTCTTATGCCTTTCTTTCTCCCTCCTTCCTGCACACATTCATTCATATCCATCCCAACTCTTATCTGGTGGATGTGGACGGTAAAGCGAATCCTGAGGAAAAAGCGAAACAAAACCTGATGAGACTGAGATTAAACCAAGATTTTGCTCTTTAGTTAGTTTTAGATGGCTGGTTTTGGTTGCGTTGACGTAAGACAATTGTTTCGTAAGCCACGCTTATTTCATGCGAACAAGAAAAGGGTAGGCACACTATTGTGGCTTCCAAATTGTGGTGACTTTTCCAGGATTACATGCATGTATGCAACGTTTAAAGTATGCAAAGTTGGTCTTCTTAATGTATGCAGATGAATGCAAGTAAATACTTTTGTGGGTCCGGTAAGAAAGCATCTTACACTGAATGAATCTACCGTTGTCTCATGGGTTTCGGTCAAATTTGATTCCTTCAAGAACGGTCAAAATCATTGTTATTTAAATACTAATGCTTACACCGAATATACATCCCACTATCCAAAGAATTATTACAACACTATTTCACATAACGCTATATGTTTCTTTCTCTGTACTATGAGGCGTACGATGTCTTTAAACTTTAATTGTCGTTAAACCTCAAAGTGTGTAACAGTAACACAAAGAACGAAAAATAAGGCTTGAAGAGTTTAAAGTTTTTTAAAGCGATTTCTTAAACCCCGCGAGTTATCAACTTTTGCCCAAAACCGAGCATCCCAGGACGGTTTGACCCAGTGAGAGGAAAACCACTCAAGATATGTGTGTGTGTATACAAAAGTTTTTCAGTTACTCTGGACCAAGACCAGCAGCAGCGGTCACGAGGGAATATGACAAAGTATAAAGTTCAGGACATAGCTTATATATCCCATGACAGATAATTTGATTTGGAACAAGTGGCTTTCAAACACGTTTCATTTCATTTTGTACCCAACCACTCTCTCTGCCCCATAAAACATTTTTCGTCCCCGCTCCCGTGCCACATTCACTTTGTTCTGGAGCTCAAGACGTTTTAAAAAGGGAAAAGTGAGGAATTCAACTGATCCCGAACTGATTGAAAGAATAAGAAAGGGTCCACACAAGTGGAAATTTGTTAGGAACAGATGAAGGAGGAGGAGGAGGAGGAGGAGGGGAGGAAAGAAATAGAAAAGGCGTCCAATTACTCGCAACGAAAGAACGAGACAAACTCGAGTCAAAATAGAAGAAGGCGAGCGGAGTGCAAGCATTTCAAAGACATACTTTTCAGTGATGAAGAAGCTCAGAATTCTCCGGCTTGGCTTGGCTTGGCTGGTAGATGAGCTGGAGAGAAAGCAACTTTGTTCCGTCTTTCTCTCCGCCGTTCGAATTTCTCTTTTTGACATCTTCAGAAGGGGGCCCTGTTCCACCACTTCTTCCTCGTACTGGATTTGGTCCTCGAATAAGAAACAATTTCTTTGATCTCTTTTTTATTACATTTTTCAAACTGAAAGTTACAGGAGTCAACAAGGAATAGCGAAATATTTAGAGACAGTGTACACATACATGTGTATGCACATAATAGCAAATCTACGGAGGGGGAGGGGAGAGACTCTTCGAGAGAGTGTGTATGTATAACGAACTGAAATCTCCAGCTACGACTTTGTGCATACAAAATAAACCAACTTTCATAGAGAAAGTTGCATAACTGTTGAAATTGTGCGAGTTGGTTAAATATTTGTCAAAATAATAATTACTGTTTTACATAATAATATTCAGAATCCGTCTGCGGAGTATGGATGCTCCGCGGTTATTTGGATGTCTTGTTGTGTAACTTTCACAGTTGAGTAGATTTCTCTCTCAATGGGCTGTGATTGATAAGTGCATGCATTTCTACTTTCCAATGCACATGCATTTATCTCGTCTTTTCAATTGTTTAAAGGACAAATCAAGTGGAAAGTAAACTGCATTAGGGGATAAATAAAGTAAAAGGTTTCCCCTGAAATATTTTTATTCTCCTTGATCTGCTTTTGACTTAACCGTTTAGCTTTCATATTTCTATTTGTGAGCAGTTTTTTTTACTATGTAGGTTAGAGTTGCATATTATATCAATCCTCGTTGAGGATGAGTGGAACTATAGTTTGAAAACTTTTCGAACTTTTCACTCTTACCACAAGTGACACAAACGCTACTTCTTGCTAATTTCAGTTAATTTAATAATAATAATTATTTACATAAATTATTCATTTCCCGAAGAGAAGACGAGCAGACCATAGCAAATCCAATATCCATATGCATGGATATTGGTGCACCCATAATTTCTCCTGCCTGAGGACTTTCATAACCTCAATTGAGCACCGCAAGAAGAGCAGGAGAGCGGATTTGAAAGTTGTTGGACGATAATTTATTGATCTTCCATTATTTCCTCAGAGTTCTGTGCCTTTCACTGCCAGCAACAAGCAGGGTTGTAGCCAAGAGCTACATATCTATCCAAATATATGTATACCCACCGGTTCGTTGCTTCCTCTTCTGCCATCCATAAGTCATTTTAATAAGTTGTGGAAATCGATAATGATTTTGGTTTTTGGCAGGTTGCTTGATGTAATACAATAATTCTACTTTCTCCTCAACTAAATACATATATTCGTATAATAGTAATGCCCTCCAATTTATTTAACCCAACTAGAGAATCGTTATTCCCTGTAAAGTTTCCCCTCCTGCATGCACCATCAAGAGATGTTCCAATTGATAAGTGTCGTTATTAGGTTAGAATTTTCCGAGTAGAGTTCATTAAATAAGGATATATATTTCTAGAATCCACGTCTGTTCTATTTTCAAGTATTAAGGCCATGCAATTTTGACGGGTGAATAGAATCAGAAACGTCAAGATCCTGTAAAATATGACACACTAGCTCAATTTGTGTCCTCCTGAGACAACCAGAAGCTGGAAAGAAGCTCCAATTGCGGATACTTTGCTCGTAGCCTGAGGTAGTAAGTAGTCTTTCTGGAATCAAATCTATCTCTTCGTACGTATAGAAGTCCATATGTATACATGTAGGCGTTGTTTGTGGTTTGATAACTTGGTGGAAGGAACGTAGGGTTGTTGGGAAGGATTGAGAACAGGCCACGAAGGAGGAGGAGGTCAGAGCAAATGGCAAATTGAAGTGACGGGAGAAAGCTGATCCGAATTTATTGTATTTTTTCAGCCTATTTCGGCTCCAGTGATACCGACACCGACGTGCTTCACCCACTCGGCGTGAACGTAAATTTCCCTCCAGGTTCTTCCGGAGCGTCGTCCTCAACACCAAACAACGGGAAAAGAAGCATGAATGATGTTGATACGAGCGGCTACAAATTGGTAAACATTTCGTTCTTATTTTTTTCGCATGCCTAGATTAATCCCATCCCAAGAGCAGGATATCGTTTCCTTGTTTTTCTAAATTATATATCGAATTAATATCATAAATGGCTCCAGATTATTATTTTTAACGGAACGATTTTATCAATTAATTGTTGGAGAATTGACTTGGATTTAATTCTTTATACATAAACTTAAAATATAACGTCTGCAAATGATAAAAAAACACCAGGGTTTTAACCGTAATGAGACACGCACACGGTGTATGGGATAAACTTCCACAAATGACCGAGGTCAAGTTAAATTGCTTTCTCAATTACTCAATTCCGAGAATCGTATTCAGAATAATTCTCTCCTATAAATACTAAATATATTTACGTACTGAAACTGCAGTAGAAAATTCTCGGACCACGAACTCTATTATGTATAACACAGCACTTACTGGTTTTTAATTTAGGTTTAATGTAGACAACAATTGGTTAGCGCGAGTCTAATTTATTGGATTTTATTTACATAAAATAGCTATAATTTTCTTGTGCAATCAGTTTCAACATTGAAAATAAATCACGGTCGTAGTGTTTCATGGACAGGACCAGTCGGGTTGAAGAATTTGTTTTCGTTCGCAGAAAATTGGAAGATTTCAGGGAAATGGTTTTAGAACCGGCTCCTGAATTTTAGAAAACGTTAAAGAATTAAGTTAAAGAAAGGATTGTGTGACGGAGGAAGAGGGTGAGATTGAGGTTTGAGAGTGGATTTTGTACTTCTTGTGCTTCTTCTTTGGCACTCAATTTCAGTTGAAGTGTGTATAAATATTTATGAAGCTAAACAAAACAGGTTTTCCCCAAGGAATGGATGAAGAATTTGGTTGTTTGTTATGCATTTATATAACTTCGACTGGTTTCTATGCAGGGTAAGGAATGCACACTGCATGTGTACTGGAGAAAATTTGTGTAGCATTTATTTCCTAAACCGTAGTATTTACAGATACTATTATTTGTGCTTCAAAGTACATCAAATCCAATAAGCATCTCTAGGAAAGAAATCGTGCAGCTAAAATAAAAATCTTGATTGGATTTTCTAAGTGTGATTAAATAAGTTGCAGCAATTAATTATAACTCGAATTCAGAACGACCATGAGCTAAATTAACAAAAAATAATGCTGACTGGAACCCAGTCAGTCGTTTTTCACTTCAGTCTTGCCATTGAACCTACGACGTGACGAGAAGAGTATAGTGATGCAATTGAGGCAAGATTTCTGACGAGATTAATGAATGAAATGATGGGCCAATAAAATACCATTCGTATTTACAATGATCGGAGCTTCATGTATTCCTATCCAATTGGTTGGCTATCCTCGTGTCGAGTTGAGACAGTGATAAAGGAAGCGAATTCTACGTCGTCATTTGATATTGTCAAGCAATCAGCAATTGATTCGAATGTGACATTCACCGCATGTAAAAAATCCTTTGTGCTTCAAGTAGAGACATTGAAGTTGAGGGTTCCTGGAAGAAAAGAATGTGAGAAAAAGTGAGGTAACGGCTTTCCTGGCGAAAGAAGTAAAAAAGAGAGAAAGTCCGAAGTTCATCAGTCACGGCGTAAGAACGGTGGAACGTTAAGCATGTTGAACAAGAGGAGGATAAAAGAGTGTGACAAATGAGTCAGACTATTCCCTTGTGACCTTAATTCATTTCTCTGCTGATATTCCTGAGCGTCCGTCCTTCTGTCCACTCTTTCATTTTTTTTATTCCATGTAAGCATAAGTAGTCCTTTTCATCCAACTGACCATGCTGTTCATGGAGCCAAGTTGATTTGTACCATCGTAGTATCCAAAATGCTTACGTGCATCATTTTTGGTAAAAAATACCACATTTAATTAATTAATTAACTGGTTCACGGGGAAAATTAATTTGCGCACATACTTTCACCTCTCTAAAGAATTCAAATAGAAGCGAACATACGTACTTATCACATGTCTGGCTTAAATTTCCAAATCCTCGAGCCTGATTTCATTACATTACTTCAACACAATTGAAAGCTCTTTCAACTCTTCAAAGTGAAAAGTGAAAGTTATGTATGCAGTCTCTCCATTGAATCGGGCGTGTCACAAACAAGATTGAATGGTTGATATTACACACCAATTCTTTCCTTGATGGGAGACATGAAAGCTTCTTTGCTTTGTGGCACAAAAACGAAATATATGTAACATTAGCACACGGCTCAAAGTCGAGAAGGGTGCAGCATTTATCCTTCTTTCTATGCGATGTGTCATGTACGTAGGACTCGTTCTTATAGATATAAGTAAAATCAATGTTGGTGTTGGTGAGTGCGTGGCAGATCGAAGTTTCAGCAGTCACAAATTGACTAAACGAGCTAGTTTTTGGTTCGTTGATTACAAGATTTCTGTGTCCAGCTCAACCTTTAATCCTAATCCCCAGTGTTGGGATGAAATTTTTGTGGGGAAAGAATAATGCATGGCACGCGAAGGGTGAAAGCGAGCAGGATGAGTTGGACATGGGGTTTAGTAACGTTGCGTGCAAATGCATCATTAAAGTATCCGCGTGAAATGAAATGGACAAAGCAGTGGACATGAGTGACTCCACATCACCGCGACCGACCGACCGGCGGCGACCGTCGGATTACAATTGCTTTCGCCTCCTGAAATAACTAGAAATTTCCAGAGGGTACTGAGTTTAATGTGCTTTTAATTAATTTTACTAGCTCTCTATAAGATTTAAATCCGAATATAGTGTGTTGTGACCAGACATTTGTGTTTATGTATTATGTAAGAAATTCAATAATCTATTTTTAACTTTCAGAGAACAAAACGAGCCAGCGAGGACACACCTCACGACACAAATGAAATGAAACTGTGGGATCAAATCTTTGCCAACGCCCTGGCCACGTCCAATACATCACAGTGGGTGCATCTGAGAGAAATTTTTGGTGAGTATGTATGATAGTTTATACCTACAACAATTTCACCGACTTGGTGGTCAAGTTCAGTGCATACATACGCTCTAAAATATTCATTTTGATGTACTATTCACGCACAGTGGTCAATATTTGTAAAGTTCTTCAAACCTGAAAATGCAAGCCACATACGCATCACATCCATGTAATTATGAGTTACTTACTTTCTCTATTTGTCCCTTTGAAATTATTGCGAGCATTCAAGTTATGGTTCAAGTATCACAGAAATACGCTTCAGGATAGACGCTCTTTATATTTGTCAAGGACGAGGGGAGAGGTATTATACAACCTAATTTCCTCAAAACGGGTGCTATATGTATGCTATTAACGTCGCTCATTCCATAAAAGAGGATTGATTGCTCCCTTTAATGAGAGCCAAGCCTGGCTCATGGACAAGATGTTATTATCTCTTTCACTTTACGAGAACTTGTGAGTGAGTGGGTGTGTTACTTTGCTGCTCCCTGTTTAGTTTTAGGGGACAACCAACTTTGTCGGTGTCATCAACGTCCCTGTTTTATGAGAACAAGCTCCTGATTTATTACTTTCATTTGAGTTTTCACTCTGGAATCCTGTCCGAACAGTGTTAACAGTGATTACATATCCGTTGTCTTGTAACGGAAAGCATGAAACATGCGCTAATATTTTATGCTATCTTCTCTCCAACAAAACAATCAATGTGTCATAAGTGCAAAACCAGCCAGTGACAACAAATAGATAAATGCGTATAGGGCAAGTCACAGTTTTCAGGTTTCAATACATTTCTCCAGTGACATTATTTTATCGCCGAATGAATAAGCTGTGTACACAATGAGGCAATCAAATGACCGTGATCTTATTGGATTTTTGGTGCATAGGACGTAAATTACTTTGCCAGTTGTAAAACAATCTAATCTAGTCTCATCAAGAGGCAAGTCGGTGTACCACAGGTAGATTTATCGCCAGTATTTCCCCACAACAGCTTACGTATTAGTGTGTAGTACGTATTTACGTACACCACTGCTGCTGCTGCTGCCCTTCCTATGACAGAAAGTGTTAATGAATGGCTCCTTTCCACAGTTGACGTTAATTCTCTTGTACATTTCCCGGATAATGACATCATGGTGTGCGGTGCTGGCAGACTTAGGAACGAGGACTTGCTTAGTTAGTGGGTCTGGCCTTGGTTCCTTCTTTATTCCCCTCTCTATTTATTTTGCGGATACTTTAGCTCTAACTGCTTTCACCCTCACTAAATGTTTCGGTTCAGTGCTTTCTTCCCGAGCCCTGGCTCTGCCGCTATGGTCGGTGGGAGGTGGAGACCTAAGTGCACAGCATTAATCTGATTGATGAGCTTCGAGGTGAAGTTTATTAAGGCGGTTTAATTTTTAGTGGAGACATTCCCCTTTTTTGCTGGAATTTTATGAAGTGCATCATTTCTGCTAATCAATCAAATTTACTAATGACGAACCATAAGGAGAGCGAGCAGATACATATCTGGCAGCCTTTCCTGCACAATGCATAAGTAATATTAGCAATAACGCTTGGTGGACGAGGCTGAGATAATTTGGTCATTTGTGCTTAATGATCTCATGCATGCTTCAGTACACATTGCTCCTCTCTCTCTCTTTATCTAGTTTGCTCTGCTTTTGATATGGTGTCCAGCAATGAACAATTTATCTCGAGTAGCAGCAAATATGGACGGTCGGCGGAGCACACATGCTGGTTTACCATTATGTCCATTCAACTTGATTTGAATTCAGAGAAATGGCCATCCACCATCCCGTCCATACTGGTCATGATCATAAGAGATGTCATAAGGGAGGGCATAATGGGAGTAAAAGGAATAAAAAGAGCTTTCCCTGCAGACAGTGGTTAGTTGGTTACCCACTTTCCCAATAAAACAACCTCCTGATGGAAATGTTACTGGGGGGATGATTACAATGATTGACATTTGAGAGAGGAAATAACCTGAACCAATTCTGCTGAATCCACCAACTCTTCCACCAAGTTATTATCCCCAGCAGGTTCCAGGCTACTGAATCTGCTCTTTCCAACCAGGTTATACTACCGTTTAGTGCAGAAATTGGATTTTTCTCGTGCAATAAAAGTACGTTTTAATGTTATGTTACAACTTTAAGGAATTGAAGCGGTTGGTGTGATGGCCACTTCGTGCCCTCAATACCACACACACATGTACATATCTAGATAGATAGATATACGGACTACCAATTCACTTTAATGGCTGACTCATCTTTAATATCGACAATTCCTTCCTTCCTCCGTCATCAGATTTTCACTTGTGTACAGAGATGAGAGTGGCAGAAAGACGGATGACTAAATTCCAAGTTTAGATGAGCTGTCAGTGAATTGAATTTAATACAAATAGAAACAACCCTTATGTATAAAAAAATTCATGTTTTAGAGCAAGTTGTACTGCACAACCATTCACCTACAGATAATTTGTCTTAGGAATTAGGATTAGTTAGTCCCCCTTTATCTCGTTGGGTTTTTAAGTACAAAATGTAGATATTTTTCGGTGCAAGAGCCATTCATTTGATAATCATATCATTAACTTTAAAATACTTTACATTAATATCACAATGCCTATCTAAATAAATAAAGGGCATTGGCATAAAATATTATGGCATGCTTAATACACAATACGAATACAATACCAATAGTGCAATGCTGTTAAGAAAACTCGTTAAAATGCTAAACAGTCTCATTTACTCCAGTTCTGACCCAACAATCATCATTTTTTTATAGTGCGGTTATGGGTTGTCGACACGAGGTTTCCCCAAAGATTGTTAAAACTGAAAACCGAGCACCCATTAGAGAAATTTACGAGGGAGCAAAAGAAATGAAATGATGAGAGAATCACAAGGTGAAGATTCGGTGGGTGTGAAATACGGTGGGAAATGAGAATTTAGGGCTGAAGCAAGAAAAGAGGTAGTAATGCAATGATAACATTACATTCTCACATAATGGACAGATCTAGACACGGAAGGGCCGTGAAAACGAGATAATGAAATGTTGCAAGCAGAGGAAAGTCACAGAAAGCAGCGAACAAGTAATGAGATTCTGTAAAAAGAAACGGCAAAAAATGGGAGAAAACTTTTTCAAGCTGTGGTGATTACGCTGGTTGTGAAATTGTCATTGTTGGTGCAATTCTTTCAGTTCTCAAAGACCTGCTGCGTGAACTTTGTTTCTTTTGAGTAGTTCAATATAAACAAACGTTTTCACCCTTAAATTTATTTCCTGTTGAATATTTTCATACGTTTTGTATAAAAATCAATGAAACGAATCGTGGCTGAGTAAGATATAGGTCGTTACATTGAGGGCAGAATGAAATTTCCTATTGCATTTTATTTTCTTTAGTTAGTTGAAAGTTGGAATAAATTATGCCATATAAAAACAGTTGGTGTGTTTTTAATCTATCATAAAGAACGCTTTTGGCCACTCTGGGAAAGTTGAGAAACAAGGTGTATGTACAGAGTTTGTGCAGGAATGAAACATCCTTCTGATCTTAATACGTGGTTCACAAGTAACCTATTTAATTTATTCCACTTTAATATTTCAGACCGAGTAGAAGAAGAACTTCATAAAACCAAATCGACCGGAAATACGTCGCTGAACCAACTCAATAAAATCCACAACAGCTTTCTTGTCCCTCATCCACCTCATCAAGCAACTTTTGTCGGTCCTCTACCCAAAACTTTGGGACGATCTAAACATCCAAAATTTATTTATCACCGAGTATCTGGTCCCCTTAGGGGCAGAGGACGCCCTTTTGCTGCAGTTTCTCTCGCCACAGCAGATTCAGAAGATCATACGAGAGAAAATAAAGCCACAGAAAATACTCTGAATGCTGATCACACCTCTTGGGAATCTAAAAATGATCACTTTTTCCGTGATGCAGACTACCCACATGACCAACATGGACGAGAAAGTGCTGAAGAACACGAAACTCTTTTAAACGACGATTTCAGCCACTTTAAAAACTTTGACCACTCTGAGCCCACGTCACATCTATCGAACAAGTTTAAAAGCTTTCAAAACTTTGATGGTCCCAGTAGCAGCCGCTCTTCCAAGAATGCCCAATTTGAGGTCACCGGTCACAACCACCTCAAAAATGGGAAGGAAGACAGAGTATTAGTCTTGGAAGATAGGTCGCATTCACATGTTCCGGCGTCGGAGCGGCGTGACCACTACGACGTGAATAAAGGGAGACACCATCACCACCACCATAAAGATAAAGCTGGTCACTTTCACCTCAGAACTTGGGAAAGTCAAGACGATATGAGGCCAAAGGACTGTCACCACCACCACCAAACTAGACGGCAAAGGAAGAAACACTACCATAAAGCCCATCTCCTTGACCAGGAATATCTTGGAGGAGATTGAAATTACCAACTTGTTACTTACTACATACTCCTACGGGCCTTCCTATCTTCAATTCTCAGATATTCTCTACATTTTTATTTCTTAAATGTATTTTATCTAAAAATTGATCTGTAATAGATATATAAAATACATAATTGGCTATTCATATCAGTAATGTAAGTACTTCCATGAAAAGAAGAAAAAATCGTATCCCACATTTATATGTGATCCAACAGTATTACTTATTGCATATATTTATCAAATTACCAAATTGTGAAGAAGCACTTAGCCATAAATTTATACATTATATACAGTAATATGTACCTATAAAATAATATCTAACTTGTAAGTATAATTTCTAGATCATTCATATTTGCTCTTTACAATGAAATAAGGTCGGCACTCATCAGTCTTTTTTTATCATAACTATAATGCACTCTAGTTTTAAGTAATAATCTCGTCTGATAAGGAAAAGTATTAGATAAGTACTACGCATAGCATGCGCCTATAAATTGGGTTAGCATGCCAGACAGACTCGGGTAGCTCCTCCTTGAAAAGATCCTTTGTTAGATAAAGTCTCTTAAAATAAATGGATGTTTGAATTACAGAGTAAATGTATGTACATAGAATGTAAGGCAAAGATTTATTCATGGAATGCTAGCCACCCTCCCTAACTATTGTAATAAATAAGACTACTACTCCCACCGCCCTTTCTCATTTCCTTATCTTTTCTGCATACATACATACATGGGCTACAAACCAGCGTGTACTTGTCGTCCCAATCCAAGGGATAAAACCGTAAAATGTAACAGATGAATGCAACTGTTTGTGGAACGATGTGAATTGGATGTGAACGATAAGTGTTTGAATTGAGGAGAAATTTGAGATTTGGGAATAAAATGAGGACGGAGCTGTTTATTATCCGAGTGCATTTGGGAACACGAGAAGTTGGCACACATCCGCTTCCATTACATTACATCTCATTATTAGCCTGTCCACTTCAACCCAACCGGCGAAATCCACCAAGCACTCACCGTTCGCCTATATTTTTCTCTCTGCTGAGATACGTATATGCATACGTTTTTTTATGCACAAGGTTAGTGTTATGGTGCTTTTAACTGGCGGCATAGCAAAGAGCTGAAGCTGCGTACCACTACACGCCTCCCTTTGGGACTCTTTGCACTGCATGGAGAAAGTAGGACGATCTCAAATTAGGCTTCAGTCAGAAGAGGAGAGGACTCCTCGCTAGCATCCTGCGATGGTGGTGGTGGTGGTGGTGCTGTAGGACATGACAATAATCTCAATCTAACTGCTACTTTCACTCGAGGTCGGGCAGCCCAAATGAGTCTGGGAACTGTGACAAGGGTAAAAGGTATGGAGATAATACTTTGTCTGTTGCAACGAGTCCGTCTGTGCTCAAGTATTTATGTATGCCACCCTAGGACTGAGGTTTAATTCCTCCACATGAATCCTGAAGATCAGAAAATAAATGTAGCAAAGTGAAAGTGTTGAGATGGAAGGTGTTGGATGTAGAAAGACTCGCGTGGTTTGTGACTGACTGGATTTGCTCTGGCTCTGTATATTTTAATGGATAGTAGAAAAAATCTTGTGAGATTTAGAAATTGACCGAAATTTGCGAATGAGTGCGTTTATCAACTAGGAAAATAGTTTTTTTGCTAATGGCAAAAAAATTAGATGATGAAATTCATTCCGATATATAATAAAGTTTAGACGACTGCAATATACGTATATCAATGATGGTTTGATGTGTGGTGTTGACTGAAAGCATGTTATCCTGAGATGCTATATTTCTCCCCTCCACCCATTTCCATCATCGCGGATCAGGGAGCTTGGAATTCCACTTCATTCCGCTAAAAGATTAGATGCTTCGGGGAAGAAGATTTACGTTTTAAAAGTACAAAATGCACTCCACGGCTCATATTCACTATATGCAAGTAAGTATATGTACAAGTACGCGTGAATACCAGGCTGAAACGGGCCAACCTAAATCAACCAGACCACATCATCTTATATAGTTTCGAGCTCGTGATGATTTGCGTAAAAGAATACAAAAATAGTCCTCCTTTTTTTACCTTCGCAGTGAAGGCTTCACTTCAATTTCAGCTCTCTCGTAAATGTTCCGTCCTCATTCTTCTCATACAAAATTGAATGATGCAAAAATACTTTCACTTTCTCCTCCGGCTTCAATTTTTCAGTAGACTGAGCTCAAAATTCTCGCTCCTTATTATTTTAAATTGTAAACTCTGTTCAAAATTTTCTAGTTATAATTTCATGGCAGCGTAGATAAATATGCAATCTGAAAAGCTATTGCACTACTTTCATACATATTATATGCAAAGATAGATTTTTTTGCAACTACTAAAAAGTAGTTGTGGTGGGATATTTTTTTAATGCTTTTTGAAATATGTATTTTCATTTTGTGGCCTCTCCTACCTAAGATTAGTTACAAAACTACTAACAAGTAAGTACAAATAGTGAGTGACATTTTTCGATTTTCTTGATAAGATGCGACATTTAACAAATACCAGCAGAGAAGCATGTTGCTTGTCCTCAGTGACTGGAATACAAGAACATTTTCCCTACGTCAAATCACGATGTCGGAGAAAGACAGCCAGGCAGAAGAGAGGACTCGGAGGCTGAGACAAGAACTCAGAAGATAAGTCAGAGGCACTGTAGCTGTTTTTATAGCCATGCATAGCGGAACTACTTACTACAGGATTCACTGAAAAATTAGATTAGGTTGCCAAGAAAGAATTTGCATTTATTGGCACCCACCTAAATAATCGAAGACAAGTTCAACAGGGAAAAATTGTAGGAAGAAGTGAAAGTCGTACAACGGGAGAGAAACGAAGCTAAGGAGTTGGAGACTTTCTTGCTTAAATTGCATTTATTCACCAGAATGACGGTGACTACAAGTGCTACATGCCACCGCGCATCCAGTACATAATTTTGAGTTGCTTTATATGACAAGACTGCATAGGCATTTGGATTCTTTTAAATTTACGACCGTTCCATAATCCTTATTTATATAATGTCGAAAATTAACAACTTACTGGTAAGGATGTTCCACCAAATACTATATCGCCAAGCTTAATTTAACGCTCTTTATAATTTACAAGTAATTGTAAAGGTTTGAAGAAACAAGTGTCCACGAAAATGAGGAGATTGAAAAACTGACCAACAACATACTTACTTGATCCAAACAAAAACACACTCCTCAGCCAAAATGTTGAACATAACGTATACTTTTGGAACATGAGATGGACAGGCAGGAAGAGCAGTGAAGGAATAATAGAAATTCGCTATTTAGTTGGACAAAGCGAAATGTCTTTCGGGGATTGTGAATTCCGACCACGAAACGTGTTTTATTTGTCCTGGAGAAAGCAACTTTTCTCTCGGTGGAAACAGTAGTGGATTCCCTCAGTGTTTGGGCTGTGCTTGCTAAACGTGGGTCAAATTGCAGTATGGTCGTAGTTTTTGTAAAAAAAGAAGCGAAAAGAAGACGAAGGAGAGTGGACTATAGTGTTGTGCTAAAGCTGAGAGAAATGTGCAATGTCGACTTTCCCCAGAGTACGACTTCCTTATTTCTTATTCCATTACCATTTCTCATATCCACGCCGCACCACACAACACCACCACAAGTCTCAAGCCTCTTGTGGGGAAAACTAGTCTTCTTGAGCCTGCAATCCACTCCAATTTCGTTCCTCCCTTCTTCAAGTGGAGGCTTGAAACCTCTGCTGCGTTTCCAGATTTAAAAGAAGTTCTAAATTTCTAAGGCGGTAGCAAATTGACAAATGCTGAAAAATGTATAATCTCAAACTGAGAATAGGCACAGTATGTACATGTGCACTTTATACTGTCTTTTACTTATCAGGAAATTTGCAGTTGCTTTGCTGTGTGCACATAATTAATTCATACAAAATCAAGTTGCTTGTCATCCGATGTAAAGGGATAATGTATAAATGTACGCCTTTTGTATATGCACCACCACGGCTTGAAAAACTCTCAAAACCACACATTCAACTTATTTGGAGTTTGTTAAGACTCGTTACTGTCAGAAAACCATCCCCAGTCTCCTTTCTCGACAATAATAACTCATAATTTCAAGGGCAGAAGCAGGCAGGAAAGCCGATGGGGATTTAATTTCTCGTCTCCAAGTTTCATGACCATCATCAAAGAAAGTAAAGGAATTCTCCACTTGGAAACACATCAATGTAATAATTTCAAATTAGAACTTTTCCTTTTCTTCAGTTCAAACCGTTGGTCGCAATTATCATGGAAGAAAGGAAGGAATGAAAAGGCGAGTCTGCTTCTCCTACTTTTGTGTTTTACGAGAAAACGCCTTAATGACAACGTTTACGTTGATGCTGTTGATCTCTTCTTAATGCAATGTTGGTGCCAAGTGCTATACAAGAATTAAGGAAAAGTAATCATCATCAAGTCGACCCAACCAGCTTTCGCTAATTACCGTCTGTAAGTAACTTGCAGTCGTTGTAAGGAACATTGGAAGGAACATTGGAAGGTCGTCAAACGAGTGAGAAAGTCTTTAATAAAAAGACTATTTAAACCCAGATTCTACACTACTTGATACTTTCCATTTCCTCCAAAGCGTTAATAACTGGGTGACAACCTTGTCTCTTTCTCTGTGTTCCTTTTACTTGTTTTACAGAAAAGACAGATATTTTGTTGTAAACGTGTTATTATGCATATCATATTCTGAGTTGAACTTGTTATATTGATTGAGACAAAAATTATGTAGGGCTCACAAAAACAATTTTGATTTTTATTAGTCATTTTAAATTATTGAATAATTTTGGTCAATTAAAAGTCAACTACAGTAGAATACGATTAATTAAAAGAAACTGCGTGTTTAATTGATTCCTTGAAGGCTGGAATGATTGCAGGTGGAAGACATAGCTTGCTGAATTGCGTCCGCGCCCCATCCACGCTCACACATGTTCGCCAGAAGATAAAGTTGTCTTGTGACATATGGATTCTGAAATGGATAATAACATTTAATGAAATGTATAACTCAAGTGTACGAAAATTTAGGGACACTCGATGCGTAGCACTGCTTTTAGCATAATTATTATGGGAATAATACTTCTCCAGTATTTCCGGAGAGTACATAAATACGACATTCATTTTGTGCTTCCGCACTTCATGTGGAATGATGTGACATGACATGGCATGTCACAATTGTGACAAATGTAGAAGACGGTTAATTTAACGGATGTCTGTTTGTAGTATAGTACAACACAGCACAAACTTGTGATAATATTCGTACGTACTTTGCAGATGACACATGATGGGCATGGATGAGATGATTTTTGGAACGGAAATAGATAATCAAACTCGAGCCAGATTTCACATGTATGAAAAAGTAAATAATGTGTATAATAAGAAATTAATTTAATTACTTTTGCAATGGAGAAGCATTCTCGTGAGTAGTATTTTGCAGTCTGTTCATAACAATCCCAGTTCGTTATTGGCATGCGAGTATGTTCCAACACTTTCATCTCCGTCTCAAGCCCCTTCGTCACCTTTGACACAATTTCCTTCATCTCAGTTTTAACAAGCTTTCTCAACTGAAAACAAATAAAGGTTAAAACTAATTAATTAAAGTGCACTACATGCATTATACTGTAGTTGACGCGAAAAAGAAAATGCAAAATTTTATGCAAATCAAATATTGGCCCCACCATTGAAATCCAACTGTGCCAACAAATAATTTGCATGCTAACAAGCAAAAGTTGATGGCTTTTCTTGTTTGCTAAAAAAATTAAACGTACCTTGTGGAACCGCTTTAATTTCCATCGCAAATTTTTCTTTTGTTCAGTCGAGTTGCTCAAGATGAGCTTGCGTTCTAGGATTTCCCTCACAACCTCGGAAGACTCGACGGCGTTCAACTGCAAATCGAATAAGGACAACAAGTCGTAAATTAACTTGCAAATTAAACTTTAGTAAAGCAAATTTAAATATAATCTTGCTACATTTTCATTTCAATTTGATTATTCTGGGTCCAAATTAACAAACAAGCCAAGCACATTGTCAATTGTACAAGCAACAAAAATATTTGAATGTACGAGTGTGAGATTTTACAACTTTAAGAAAGGGTCGAGACATTTGCAAGTCAAACTCCATTAAGATCAACTGCAACAATATCTCAAGTTTTGTTTTTAGATTCTTATAATTCTCCAAACAATACTTGAGTCTGTATCGTCTGATATTTACATATAAAAGCGCAGGGCTGTATTTTATAAGTGTGTGATCATGGCATGTGTTTCACCGTAGCTCATTCACTTTTTCCCTAATAAATTGCTTCGAGTAGTCGAGTACACGACGAGGCGGTGTTGAGCGTGGAGAAAGTTTGAAGTTTTGAAATTGTAGAATGACTGATGAGTCTCATCTCCTCCTCGAACACTCGTTTTCTCAATGAGAGATTCACAACATACACTTTCATATTCTCCTCCCCTGGAAGAAAGCCCTCGCCACGTCTTTATTAGAAAATGACTCCAACGTCAACCAATTCACCAACGAACCACTTTGCTGGCAACTTAAAATCTCAATCCATCTTCAGTTATGGGGATGATGCATTAACTCTGATGATATTAATTCAAAATCAATTTGTGAATAAAACTTTTTCTATTATTCAGAGTTAAATTTTATCGCCGATATATGCATCCAATATGGTCGTATGCAGTCATTGGATTGTTCCAAATACAGATATATATATATAAATTCTTTGAGAGCTGTCATCCCTCACTATTTGTCCATTCGCCCATGGTCTCGTTTGGGGAGTTTTTGCTACGAATCGTATATGGAGTATTATGGTGTAAGTGGTTTAGGAAGAAGATTGAATGAGTTGCTCTTATTCTGTTCACCCATCTTCATGAAAATCTGTCTTCATCTCAATCTCTCACTTATTTACTTTACTTCTCCTAGTTCAGGGCTACATGTTGATGTTCTAAACACTGGCAGTTTGCTTCGCCATCCAAAAGTTTTGCTCAGGAAACAACTCATCTCAATTTACTTTCATCACTTCCTACTTTTTGTCTTAGACTTTGTTCGTGGGAAGATAAATAAATAAATATATTAGTTCCAAAGGGAGAAGTTTTGAAATGCAGATGTTGAGTTATGTATTGCGTAGTGTGTGCAAAGTTAATGGTTATACCTTCCGTGTAGAGTTATAGAAATGTCTTTCACTTGAGAAATTGTGTGAAATGGAGAAATGAAATGTGCGGTATTGTTTCACCGGTTTTCCTATGAATTCACCCAGCAGGAAGGCCTTGGTGTTTAAACATGAATCAGAATTCAGGACAGGCAGGTTGTTGGCTTGGCAGGATGTGAGTAATTTTGAGTTTTGATCATTTCTGGTGGATATTATCAAAATGAGAAAGTACTGGCGTCGGGCTTGTTTGAGTTAGCAAAATAGTCGACACACTCAAGAGGTATACGTACGTATGTACATAGTGAAAGTACATAGTATGTACATAGTAGAGTTGCTAGTTAAATGGTCCGGATGGATTAAAAACACATTTCCTGATCTCTACTCACTCTCTGTCTGGTTTGGAAATCCGTGTTCCATAGCAAAGACCGTAATATGTCATTCAACGGCTATTTTAAATCATTTCTACACATGCTCTAATGTTTTCTTGATTGTTGTGCAATGTATAATAATTTTGTAACTTATAAGCATTCTGGAAATGTGCTCGAAACATGCATAGTCATCAAAAATTGGTAACAGGGTTCACATCATCTGTCTCATACCTCAACTTCCGGCAGACGAACTTTCCTTTCCGGTTCTGACTCTCCGAGAAACTGTGCAACTGGCAGTCGTCTCAGGGACTTGTCTCCAAACTCCATCACATGGCTGGTGTTTGTCTCGTTTCTTACAATCAAAAACTGCTTTTGTAAGGTTTCTTGCTCCAGGTTCGCCTAATCAAAATCAAAGCAAAGAGACAGGTGAATGAAATCAATTTGTTGTTTTGTTCAAATCAAGTAAACAAGATAACAATTGGGAGTTGTTGGGAGACGAAGAGAGAGAAAGAGCGAGAAGGACAAAGCAGTTTCAATTTGCAATTTGTGCCTCAAATCGATTTTCTTGGTTTAGCTTTTTGGCAAGACTGTGTAAATAAGCTGTACCACACACATTGAATTTGTCTCATCTGAAGGCTGGGATATGAATCCGTACCGTGTGTGTACTATCGATAACACAACGCAGACAGAGTTTGTATACACTATGACTTTCAGAGTTTTGCTCAGTTCTCGAATCTCGCAGAACCGTCATCAGCGAGATCAAAGGATATAAATTGTTTTCATTTTCTTTTATTGTCCACATCGACCTTCAGTGCCATACACACTCCCAACTGGATAGAAAATAGGACAAGTTTCTTCTGTACACATGCACACAAGCCTTACAAGGTCTTTGTAAAAAACACTGAACATAAAAGCCAAAACTGTGGATAAAACATTCTCCACGGTGCCAATAAACTGCTGACATATCGTCATTTTATTTGCCATAAAGATTTCAGAACCCAATGAAAGGAAAAATACTGATCATCAAGGGTGATCAATTCTGGTAATAAATCACTGCAAGAGCATAAAAGATTTAATGGGGTAGTATTGTTTTCCTTCAACTGTGTACATATTTAAGTCTGGTTGGACAATGTGCGTGTGTACGTATGAACAAGAACAAGTTGGGCAAAAGAGATTGACATTTTAAATTGAACAAAGTGCATCCAAATTGTATGAGGCTTTTGGAATCATTTATTTATTACCTGGTCTGAATTCTCCATCCATTTGATGCTGTACACATCTCCTAAGTACGTCTCTCTATAGTCATCCATGTAACAGGCGTACGAAGATTCAACGTCATTCGCGGCCGTGGTCGCAAATACTTTAATAACACATTAAAATTACATTCAATGGCAAGTAAAATGTTAATCACAATCTGAGAAGTATGAACTGGGGATTCGAATCTCAAAGACTTAAACGACTTACAACAGATGACTTTTTGGCAAACCTAGCAGAAAATTTAATGGGACATATCTTGGAAAGTGTGGAATGGAAAGAAAATGTAATTAAAACAGAAAGGAGTTCTTTTCTCTATATTTTAGGTTAGCCTGGTGGGTGTAGCATGCATACGTGTATGCGAGGGAATGGGAGGGTAATGATTTCACCAGATTCTACTGCATAGCTCGTTACAAAAGGAGAAGAAGGGGAGCAGATTTAAGTTTTCTTAGTTGGTCCATGAAATGAAAGCGTTTTAAGATTTCAGAGAAAATTGATCTTTCAGGAGTCAGAGGCAGGTGAGTTGAAGTGTGAGAGATTTATGTTGTTCGACTCGTGTGTTTTATACGAGCGAACCAGAAGAAGAAAGAAGTTTGCTTTTTCCTCCCTGCTGCTGCTTCTCCAGGGAAACTTACCGTTCCAATGGGCTGGCAGCAGATTGTCAAACATAGACCCACTTTCACAGGCTTCAACGTACAAGACCATCTAAAATTGATGAATAATTATTGTCATTACTTTGAACAGTAGTAATGATGGCAATGGTAATCAAATTCACATTGATATTTCCTAGTAAATCACTGGTAAATATTAAAATTTGTCGTCAGTCTCATGTGTTATCGTCGATCAAATAATTGATGGTTTCCAACATTGAATTGATCTATTGTTATCGAACCGTCCAGATAATATATTGAAGTACGAAAGAACGACTCATTAAAAGTCGATAGAAGTTTGGTTTGGAGATAAAACGAGTAATTTATTGGACTAACTTTCACTATCATCGTGTCACCTTTGTTCCCTATGAAAAGTGTCAATGAATCACCCATTTGTGTTTCCATAATCAAAATAACTTTTGTATTGTTCGAAAATTTACGTCTATGTGTGACATTTCGAGATTTAATGCCCTTTTGAACTACGAAAGAAAGGTATGGATATACACATTATTTAGTATGCTGCATACATTATGGTACCCAGAGCATGGAATAAGATATATGTACTACCCATATAGAGACCTAGAGTACAAGATATGTATAAAGGTGGATACGGTGGATACTGAAATTTATAGGAGTAAACGGATTCGCTTGACAAACTTGATCAGGATGGATTGTTCGCTTTGTGGCTGGGTACAAAGAGTTCCGAATTTTACTCCTTATTACACAAGTAAAATCAGGTGATCCGAATCAGTAATGAATAGATTAACATGCTCACCGACAACTCTGCCTCAGTTTCGTCGGCCTTATCGATCATTTTTACAACATCATTTTGAAAGACTGCCTTGAATCAATTGTTCAAAGTGGGTAGCTTTTCATGACCTGATCTCATTGTCTACGTTAGGTGGTAGGTTTCAGGTCAGATTATTCGTAATTTTGATTGATTACGCATTCTTGATATTAAATTTACCCAAAGTATAAAATAATGCCAAGAATGGAAAGCGTCATATATTTCGTCCTCTCTGTAACGTAATTTTATGTAAGTATGTACCTTTGCATACATCTTGGTAAGATGCATTTTCTTTATCGTCGAGATGAGGTCCTGTGCGTGGAGTTCTTCTGAAGGAAATGCGACTAAACCTGGTGCTATTGTTTGAAAACTTATAATGGATTAATCATGTCAAAAGCTAAAAATTGTAAAAAAATATATAATAGCAAAAAATTGTACCACCATGATCTGCAAAGTTGATGAAAACATGATCATCTGGACCGCTGTAAAAAATCAATGTATATAAGTACAACAATATATTTGTATTCGTATAGCTATTAGGTTGTATATCATATATATCCTATATATAATTCAGTGTATATATAAAAATACAGCACAATTTAGCAAGTGATAGAGAAAAAGGGCGATGGGAGGCCAAAAAATAATATCTAGATGCAGAATCTCTCATCTCATAACTCCTACAGCATGAGCTGATTTACTTTTTGTAAATCTTGTCCTGATGCTCAAAGTTAATAAGTTTTTCCAGCCAACCAGTTTACAACCAATTTGCTGTTCTCACAAAGTACACGTACTGTAATTTCAAAAATATTGCGTCAAGTCTGAACTTTTCAGTATTCAACTCTTCATTTCTGAGAACGTCACCTCAGGTCACGTCCATAAACCTCCTTTCGTCAGACTTACGCCATGCAGGATTAAAGCGTAGACAAAATATTAGAGGCATATATGAGACAATCTACGGGATACAAATTTGTAAGTGAAACTCAACTCCTTAAACAACCTGACACGCTAAGGCTACTTTCTTATGCTTTCCAATGCTACGCTTGGTCTCCATCAAGTAGTTTTTAAACTTACTTAAAGCAATACCAAATTAAATATTTACCTTTTAAGAACTCTGCCAGTGCCCACGCCCCTTAGTGATTTCTCGTCCCCAAGTAAGACTTTCAGGAACACATCCGGCTTTACGTCCTGCATACGTATATAATAATACAAATGTGTTAAAAATATATAGAAAATGTAACGGTTGATGGGCATCTTCTTGAACGACATTTATTTGCACTATGATATATATGACTTCATGTTTGAGACCCATTATTCAAGAATCAGTAAAACTTCAATTGATTATTCTTCTTGCCAACGCCCCTCAGGATTCTGAAATTTTTCCTCCATCTTAAGTTAACAAATCAAACGAAGGATAAAGCTGTACATGTGCCAACCCTAAAATCAAATCTTGAGGGTAAAATGAACCATCTATTTTCTACCTTGGTGAATTAATTTCATCAAAAGTCACCCCTTGGATGTATGTACCACACTTCCACCATTTACCCCACCGGCTGGCTTGCCATCATGACGGAAGGCCTGGAATGTTCATTCGCCCAGAGCAGGGGGAAAGTTTCAACGTCATATTCCTTCGAAGCCTCGTGAAAACTAATTAAGGATGATACATGGGACAACATCGTTTATATTGAAACTCATTACCTTGTAGGAACTTTAGTAAATTCATGCTTTTAAACTCCCCCACCTAAAATTCCTTCAAGTTGACTGCCCTTCTTGTGTTTTAAATTAAAATGTGGTGCTTTGAAGACGTATCATGCATAAGACGGGCAAGTGATGAAGTCGGCAATTTCCTGCCTCATCTTCCTCGGTAGAATTCGCTTTATACATAAGATTTGTTGCATATAAATCTAATTGTTTTACATATGCATGAATACTTTTCATGCGATGTATGCGTTTCAACTATTTCGGGCATATTTTTATAAATAAATATATATATATGATATTTAGATTGCCCTTTGTATTACTGATGTTAATTGTTGGTTTTTTTTAAATCGATCGAAATGAAACAATTTAAATATATTGCCGAGAGAAAGTTCTGAACCTGGCCAATATTATACGGGTATTGCAGTACATATGCTGATGTGCAATAATTGCACGCCAGGTGCATATATATATAGCAAAAAAACTTGCGAGAGTCTCATCGCTTTAGCGTAGGACATAAAAATCTAATCAGCCAAAGTAGGGAGACAAATCTGTTTAAAACTCCTCGGTCCTTAAACCACGACGCACATCTTTCTTATTTTCAGAGTGAAAGTAAACACATAACTTTGTAACGCCCTCATCAGTGACTTTCCCTTTGGACAAAAATACTTACGTATATGCTATAGCTGCATAGGTAGTAGCTGCAGAATCGAGGGCGTTAAAGTTCAGCAATCATAAAAATTTGTGCTATTTTATAAAATTAAAGTTTTTTTGCAGTTTTCGCCCCAAATTGCGTTGTTGCCATTTATATTAATACCAAAAGAGGGAACAATAAATTCCTGCGAGTTTCGTCCCCCTATATACTTATTTCGAACTAGGGAGGAGAAAGCTGCCATGTATTTATAGTATCTGCACTGGGCTCTGGTTCGTAAAGCAGGGTTAAGAAGAGGACGAGAATCCGGTTCAATTTCGGAAAAGGGTTTCTTTGTTCTCTCCTGCAATCTAATTAAATCAATCCGATAAAAGTTTACTTCAGTGAATGCAATCTTGCCTAATCTCATTCTGAAATCTGGACTTTTTCAAAACAAAATTGGGTGATTATGCTAAACAAGTTATCGCTCAAGTCAGTCCACACAAATGTGGATTGAAATCTTACATCTCCTTTGTAGTCGATTTCTACCCCAGCATACACGTTTGGACCGTTCGGCCGGTTGATTATCACTCCGGGAGTCGGGTTCCTGCAACAAATGCAAATAATAGCATTGAAAAAGGCCAATGGTGACTCAAGAAATAAGCATTGTATCCACTTTTTCTCATCAGCAGTAACAATAATGGAAAGTTATATTACAAATCCGACTTTGTTGCTTTTGTATCGATCGATAACATCGTTTTATTACCGATGCTCATTAGCCGTGAAATAAGAAAACAAACGGATATCGTGGTCGATATTATGGGGAAAGACGGAATAGGGGATCCAAGAGATATAAAAATATATGTCCGGATTGGAAATAAAAGAGAGTTATTTATTCATTCAGCTTGAGATTGGAAATGGTATAAATAAGATGTAAACAATGGGAGATGAGAGTGTATAAAGACCAACGCTGATTTAAGTTCGTTTGTTCTCCTTACAAAAATATAAGTTTTTGAGATCAATTCCAGAATTGTAAAGAAAGAAGATGGGAAATAAATTGCCATAAAAGAGGGAATGATGATGAACTCGGAACATGATCGAAAATCAATGACTTCCCCCCACGAACTTCCTCCTCCTCCTCTTCTATTATTCATCGAGGAGCGAGTACCGCATGCTGGTCAGCCCAATGCATTTCATTGCATTAACTAATGAGTGATCGATATCAATGATGACGATACTTTTGGATTCAATTGCGTAAATCTTTTTATAGAAATAATATTTCATCAGAAGTTTATAAGCTTATAAGCACTCACTCTTCACTGTTCGCGACGTCGTCAAACATTAGAACGATAATGTGTTCCTTTAAAGAATAAAATGATAAAAATGAATTATTTACTCTTAACCATTTGTTTAGTTTTGTCTTTGCATTAAAAAATTTTTTCCACATTTAAAAAACCACATCATGTACATACATACATATTGATATTTAATTATCAAATAAGATGTCTAACCTTAGCCACTCCGTTTCTCAACAAAATTTGGTATGCGTGGCAGATGTCAGCCTTTTGGAGATAAAAATAAATGTCTCGTCATTAATTAATACGTATATTTAGTACTGCTGCTTTGCTGCGTAAAAATATAGATTCAACAACAGTGATTTTATGTGCGGCACAACAATGTTTAGAGTTAAATATACATAATTAATGCTTCCAGTGACAAATTAGTGTTGCCAACAAGCTCTAAATTGGTTGAAGATGTGTTGGCCTCAAATGCACTAGAACTGGTGCAAAATTGAATTTTTAAGCATTTTTGTACTCCTAGATAAATTTGGGATGAAATGGTACAAATTTCAAATACTTAAGTACAAAAATTATGTATATTTTTTTATTTCGAGACCAAAATGCTGTGAGTCGCAAACAAGCTGAACCAAAAATTACCAGGTTACATTTTTTCGTTGAAATTTATACCATTGCACCCCAAATGCACAGATCGGATAGTGAAATCTAAGCTTGGTTTTTCTTAGCTACAGTGTCGGACAGATGTCTACGTCCACATAGTCGCGTCAATTTCATTTTCAAATTGTCACTGAACTACTGAACCAATTTTCATCATTGATATATCAAATTCTCACAAATTTAACGTAATTTCATAAAACATATGAGTTATTTCTGAAAATTCTGGGAAAACTGAGAATCATAGTGCAGAGCGAGAGAGGATGAAATTTGAGCGGACAAAAGTCTACGTCCACTTCACTTTAATTGTCAACAACAAAAATCTCTCCAATTTATAAAATCAGGTAACTTAATAAATCTATCAATAACATATGCCGCATTAATTTTTAAATAATTTTCTTCCAGAAAAATATGATGGCGTCGACACGCAAGGAAATTCCTATCGCTATTCGAGATCTTGTCATTCAGGACTGGAAGGGTGGACAAAAAGGGGGGCTGTCGCAGAGACAAATAGGGACCAAGTATAAATTAGCAAGGACAACCATCCAGACAATCATTAAGAACTTTAGAGCTAATGGTTCAGTCCAAAACAAGGTCAGAAGTGGTCGAAAACCGATTTTGGCTCACCGAGAAGTACGCCACGTGCTCAACAAAGTCAACGTTACACCCTCACTTAGTGCTCCAAAGCTATCTACCGAGATCAAGGAGATGTTCGGCAAACAGGTTAGTCCTATGACCATCCAAAGAACACTGAATAAGGGAAATTTGAAATCCCACAGAGCAGTCCGGAAGCCTCTTATTGTACCGAGGAATGCAACCAAACGAGTGAAGTTTGCCAGAGACCACATTTCCAAGCCACAAACATTCTGGGACATATTTTATGGACTGACGAGTCAAAGTTCAATGTCTTTGGGTCAGATGGGCGTCGTAGAGTGTGGAGATATCCAAAAGAAGCTTTGAATCCAAAAAATCTCAACCCCACAGTTAAGCACGGCGGCGGGTCGGTAATGGTGCGGGGATGCATGGCTTCAAGTGGGGCAGGAAAAATGGAATTTGTTGACGGAATTATGGACCAATACAAGTACCAGGGAATACTTGACCGTAATATCCAGGAATCTGTTCGAAAACTTGGACTTGGACGACGATTTGCCTTCCAACAAGACAACGATCTGAAACACTCTGCCACGTCCACCATGGAATACTTCAAGAAAAAAAAATTCCGAAGCTAGAATGGCCTCCCCAATCTCCAGACTTGAATCCCATTGAGCATCTGTGGGACCACATTGAAAGAGAAATAAGAAAAAAATCTTTTTCAGGAATTCCGGGCCTAAAATCCAGAATTCGTGAAGTTTGGGAAACCATTTCTGAAGATGTGACCAAGAATTTGGTAAACTCTATGACTCGACGCCTTGAAGCCGTCCTTAAAGCGAACGGAGGCCCAACCAAATATTAAAAATTAATTGTTATAACATTCCTTATAAATTACAGTTTTTTTTGTATGTTTTCTCTGACTGGACGTTGATTTTTGTCCATCCAATTGTTTTCATTTTGAATTAAAATACATCTCTGGCCTAAAATAAATTTTTTAGCGGAAAACTAATAATGTGCTATAAAATTACGTTAAATTTGTGAGAATTTGATATATCAATGATGAAAATTGGTTCAGTAGTTCAGTGACAATTTGAAAATGAAATTGACGCGACTATGTGGACGTAGACATCTGTCCGACACTGTATGTATTTGTGCAATCTGAAAAATTATTTAGATTGATCCAACTGCCAAGTTTTATGTTTTCTGAAATTTTGCCATTTGGGAGTTCAAAAATGCCTAAAAATTCAATTTTGCACTAGGTGGTGTCTAGTTATAGTGCATATGTATTTGTATAAGGCCAACTCATCTCAACTCATGTAGAGCTTGTTGGCAACACTATTAAATAGGACGTATTTGTATTGCCACTGTCAATGCATTATTATTTAGTAAGAACTTCAACTAAAAATGTACAAATGTACCTGATGCCTATAATTGTAATATCCATTGCTGCCTGCTACCAACACAGCCCAAATAGTCCCATTTCCATTGACTTTATAAGGATCCCTTGCTACGGCCGCATCCTGTTTAATTTTTGGGAGAAGGTTTCCTTGCTCTTCATGTTCATTTGGAAACTTTACTTGATAAATGTCCTTGTTGTATGCAAAAGTTCCATAACTCACAAGTAGGAGCAATCCGAGGCTTCTTAAAATTGTCCCCATTTCAACCGTTGCTTAAATTTATTCTCCCACAAGAGCAATTTAGAAATAAATGCAACAATTTACAACAGTTTAATGAATTTAAATGCTTTGCGACAGAGTGCACACTAGAGACAGATATCCTCTGACAGACCATAAAACGACGGCTGAGAATGCGTTGACTGAGGATGATGAAATTGTGTATCACTGAGACTCGAGACGAATAAATACGTTTTTTTTGTACCAGGGACCAGTTCCAGTTAAATTTAATAAGAGTGACTGATTAAGTAAAGAAATGGTAGCAAACAGATATAATAAGCTGGCACGTAATGGCTTAGTGGCAATTACGCCTCGGGGATAAACTTTATTTACCCAAAAAAAATATATAGATATATGAAAAGCAAAGTCTGGAATTAAATTTCTCGAGTGATGTTGGACACGTTGTGGTAATAAATCGACTTTAATTTGTTTAGTATAAATAAATAACCTTCATGTTAAATGGGCATGCATAAGTATGTACATAGCTGTCGGATGAATCATTGATAAAACACGCAACGTTAATATAAATACACAGGTACTTAATTTTATTTAAGTAACCATAATTTATTAGTGATTTTGTCCAAATGTGCATATTTATGTACATCTGTAGTTCTGTACAAGATCTATGAAGTTATGCATAAGTTCACGGCATAATAAATCATGGAGTGAGTGCCATTGTCCGGTCATATACTTGCATTTGCATCCACATTAATTTGTATTTGTATTTAGTTTCTCACCAACACGCACATGAAGATTGTATGTGATGACCATGACCCGTGAAAGACATATATGAATTTCATTTCATCTCCTGATTATGAAAAACTAGATGCATTTCACATTCTGCAATTGTAATCGGTAGCAAATAACAAATGACTCAATAAAAATCTGCATAAATCTGGAGAAGCAGAAATAATTTGGTGACAAGTTATTTTGCCCTACATATTTTATAGTGACGAAATTTATGCTGCCGGTGAGAATTGGAAATTGGAAAAATATTGGGCGCAATAATAATGGGGTAGAAATGTCGTGTCTGGAATTTTAAATTGAAACAATGGTTATCAGGCATTTAAGACATGTAATTGCTTCCTAGATTTTGCATATATTATAGATTAACAGAAACATATTAAGCAGGATAATTTCAATTGAGAGAACGCAGTCAGCAGTTATCTCTAATCCTAAACGGTAACCCTTACCCCAACTCACAATTTTCGAATGTCTCAAAATTGTCATAATGTGTGCTACAGCCCCAAACGAGACTAGGAATGTTAAATCGTCGGAACATATTTTGGACAAAGTTAAATCAATCAATCAAGGCCACCAAGGTAAACCCAAGGTTGTACCGCAATTTAGTGATTTCTAATAACATAAATTATGCAACTTTACAGGATGGGGCACGCGACACACATTTGTAGTTTTAGGATTTTTAGGATTTGTCCTCTGCTATGCATTGAGATTTAATCTGTCCATTGCTATCGTAAAGATGGTACATCCCAGATCCGAGGCAGATTCATCCTCATCTGCAAAGTTTAACAAAACTAATACTGTCCCACAAAGCTCAGGAAGCCAACAGATATGCCCAAGGAAGCTAGATAATTTCGCACTTTCGAATTTTACTGGCAATATGCATAATTCATTAACGAATCAGAGCTTCCCACATGTTTATAATTCCATGAGTGAGCGTCAATTCGATTGGACGGAAGAGCAACAGGGCACCCTGTTGGGGGGATTCTTTTGGGGTTATGTCCTTACACAGTACCCCGGGGGAAAACTTTCTCACGTTTATGGACCCAAGTGGGTCTTTTCGTGTGGAATATTAATCACGGGGGTGTTGTCGTTAATTATCCCAGTTGTAACTGTCACATTCGACGTTGTAGGACTTGTAATCGTTCGTTTCCTGCAAGGATTGGCAGAGGTATGAATAACATGACCACTCAATATTTTAAATACATACACGCGTTAAGCATCTTCTCCAGGTTTGGAAATGTAACCCAGTTTAAATAATGTGTTAGGGGGTAACACTTCCAAGTATTCTCGTGATGTTATCACACTGGTCCCCCGTGGAAGAGAGGGGCCGGATGACCAATTGGTTATTAGCTGGGATTCCCATTGGAACAGCCGTAATTATGATTGCTGGCGGATACTTGATCAACTTATTCGGGTGGCCTTCAGTATTTTATTGCACTGGAATTGCTACGTTAATTTGGTTTGTATTTTGGGGTCTGATGGTTTTTGATACCCCATCAAAACACCCAAGAATTACGAATGAGGAATTGAAATACATCCAATCAAATCTAACAGGATTAACTACCCAGGTAAATTACAGTTAAAGAATTATGGTAGTGGTTGAGTTATTCGTGAAGCAGTGCTAATTAGTGGATGAACAAAAAATATAGGAAAATATTCCGACTCCGTGGAAAAGTATTTTATCGTCGTTGCCAGTTTGGGCAATTTTTATAGCAGATTTTGGTGACTCGTGGTCGCATTACTTACTGCATGTTGAAATTCCAATTTATCTCAGTTCAGTTCATGGGTTTGATATTGAAACGGTAATGTTCAAGAATTTTTTAACCCATTAATGTTTTTAATTCAAAATTCAATTTTCTGAAAGTAGAATGGATGGTTTTCTGCCCTACCTCAATTGATGAATTGTACACTTGGAATTTGTGTGGCATTTCTTACGGACTTTATTATTAGCAGGAAATATTTAACCGTGATAACCACTCGTAGAGTGTGTAGCACAATGGGTAAGGTTGAAAGCAAAACCTTTCGTGAATAGTAATTAATCCTTTTATGTTCATTATACGTGTACATGTTTTTTGTTACAGCGTTGTGGGGAGCTTCTGCTGGTTTCATTGGTATGATTTGTGGAGGCTGTAATACGATTGTGGCAGTAGTGTCGCTTAATTTTGCAGGTAACCATTTTTACTTGCAATGGGAGCATAAGAATGTTCAACCCAAATCTTTTTGTGACCCACGCATCTTGATGTACCAGCTTTTCATATATACAAAAAATTTGGTTCGGCATCTGCGCAAAATTCAGCGACTTGGGTGCGCTACAAATTCGCGAAAACACTCGGTTTCTCAGGCAGAAACTGCACTATTCTCTCAAGAAAAATTATCTCCGGAAAAATGCGAAAATAAATTTGGACCTGCTTATATTTTTTTTTTCCGAACAAAATCAAATTGGTCCCACCAAAACCGGAGTTATAAGGATTTTCATTTTATATTTTGGAGCGTGGGTGTGGTAGGATTGGAGCAAGGATGTGAGAGAACACGACAGTGTCTGCCTTTCTGCCTTAGAAACCGAGCGTTTTCGCAAACTTGCAGCACCCCTAAGTCGCTGAATTTTTCGCAAATACCAAACAAAATGTTCTTTATGTTGGTATATCAAACTGCGTGGGTCACAAAAAGATCTGGGTTGAGCATGTTTGCGCTCCAATCGTAAGCACCATGATCATGCAAACGCTTTCGACGTTATGAAATCCTAAAACTGAATTATGTTGCATGTAAATAGCTGCTATTTCTGGAACATCGAATAGTGGTTGGGTTGTCAACCACATAGAAATCGTACCAAATCATGCAGGTACCAAGATTATTTGACACTTTATCTATCTATACTTTATTATATGGGGCACCACTCCATATTTAGAAACGGTTTCAATTAATCGTTTGCAGGTACAATATCAGGGGTGGCAAACTCCGTCGGAAACATCTTGGGTTTTGTGGCTCCTTATGTCACTGGACTCATTTTGCAAAACAACGTGAGCTAAATTCAGTAATCTTGCATTTTATTCTGAACCTAATTCAACATATTTGGTATTTTATTCAATGTGCACAGTCTACATTGCTGGGATGGCAAATGGCGTTGGCAATTCCTGCAATCTTAAGTTTCTCCGTGAGTCTCTTCTACTTGGCATTTTCCTCCTCAGAAGAGCAACCGTGGAATAAGCCGAAAGAGGAAGCTTCTTTAGAATCTTCAAATATGGCTTAGAATAATTACACATAATATTAATTATGCATTTTGTGTGTCTAGTTAAAAAATTCCTACTTGCATTTTGTACTGCAATTAATACATTTTGTCAATAAATGTGCAAATTTGGTTAGCAATTAGTTGGTTTATTATATCCCCACAGCTCATTCGATAATCTTAATCTTTTCCAGAAATCGTGGATAAAAGCAACGTTATATAAATGAATAATAACAAATTGTTATTAACAATGAATTCTCAATTAGTTGTATTTATTCCCCGCACGTTTGATAAAGTAGGCAGGGCAGAGAGTAACTACATATTTGCATAAAATCAGTAATTATCAAAGTACAACGCTACATACTAGTACAGTGCCGAAATTAGTACGTGAGGGGAATTTTAGAAGCTAGCAATTGTAGTTCATCTCTACAGCATGTCTGCCTGTGTGTTTGTATGCAGTCTGGAAATTTAAAGGAAATGTTTTCATTGCATGCATTAAATTTTTCCAAAAACTTTTCCAGTTTTATTACAAAAATAATTAAGAACAATAAATTGCATTGTCGTCATTATTATTACATTGAGTATAATATAATATAACATTGGTACTACCATAATCACCCCATAATATCATTATTGGCATCTCCTGCTACTCCCAATTTCTTTAATCTCTCAGCTTCAGCCTCAGCTTCCATCCTGTGATAAGGCGAATGGAAGAAAAATGCCAGGAAACATACAAGAGTGGAAACACATGCAATCGAGATAAGACCAGTGCTCATTGTGTCTTCCGGATCATCCTTAAACGGAGATTTTCCTCTCAAAGAATCTCCCACAAGCAGGAAAACAACTGCACAAGTCTGTCCTCCCAACCAAAGCACGGACGTGCAAGCTGAAGTGGGGGCAGGATAGGTGGTCTCCACCCCCAACTCAAGAGCGACCGGCAAGAGGGCAAAGGAAATAAACCCCAGAAATCCACAGACGAGACAAATCCAGGGGAAAAAATCCTCACGAACGACGAAGAGAAAGCCCACATAACCCGCAGCAAGAAGGGGGGCCGCACTTTTTAATACCTCCTTGTACTTTCTCGTCCTGTCCACAAAAACACCGGACGCTGCAGCTCCGACTATTCCAGCCGCAATGAAACATGCCCCAAAGATCCCTGCATCATCATCAGAATAGTTGTACGGCTCGACAATTTGGTTGATAAGAGAGGTGACGACGTTAAACACAGCTACGGATATTGCAAATGCCAAAAAGAGCACCCAGAATTGGATATTGGTTGATAATGTCCTTAACGCTACCATGAAGCTAACCTCCCTTGTTTCGGCTAGGGCAATCTCGGCCGAGGCGGATGGGGGCGTGGGTGGTTTAACTGGTATGAAGAAAGTAGGAATCAACGTGGCTATGGCTATTATTCCAACAACGAGAAGCTGAAATATTTAGACAGAAATAAAAGCCTTTTAAATTTATTATTTATACACTTGACAGGCGCACGTATGCACATATTATATGTATTTATGCATGATTACCGTAAGGGGCATATCATCACCGTCTTCATTACTGCAAAGCATGGGGATCACAAGCATTGCACAAGCAATACCAACAGGATTGGATACTGTCCCAATTGTTGTAGCAACTGCTCGGCTTCCATCACCAAACCACACGGCTGCAGGAAACAATAGGCATAATTATAAGTAGACACATAGGTTTCTTAAAACATCAATCTTAGCGTTGTAAAATGTTAAAATAGTGCCGAATGATTAGTCTACCTGAATATTTTGGAGATACGTTAAGAAAGAATGGCTGCGCGCAGGCTGCAATGAATTGCCCGATCAGAATCACCGTAAGTCTTGCCTCATGAGAATCCTCTGTAGATTCTATGAATGAGCCAAAATATCTTATTGTACACCCAACTACGTTTAAACTTGCTCCCAAAATGAGCTAAAAACAAAAAATACAAGGTCAATTTGTAATGCAATCTATGTACAAAGGTAGAAAAATTAAGTTACGCAATGAGGGTATTATATTAGTGACTTACTGCAAATTTTATACCCCATTTCTCAAAAACATATCCACTAAAAGAGGACGTAGCAATTGACCCCGCAAAGTAAAGCATTGAACTTAAGTTGACCTCTGTTAAACTTGCATTCAACCATTTTTCCGATATCTTCGAAACAGAATTAAACGTAAGCCAAACGAAGCCGGTCGCTATATTCAGTGAAATAATGACCAACATGCCAATCCATCGTCTTCGATACATTTTGTAAGGTTGCTGATTTTCTGACATTACTACGACTGCAGTCGATCCCACCGTTTTTGCAATTGAATTGTCTCCTTCTTGGAAGGATGCTGATCCATGAGGTGAAGACGATGATGATGAAGAAGATGACTGAATTGACTGAGACTCTGCTGCAGAGTTAACCAAATCGGTCTGAGAGGAACTTGCCATATTATTAAGAAGAAATACGAAATAACTATGTATAGTCTTATTTTTTAACGTTTTATGGGGTAGTATTTAATTACTATTTAAAATATCGTGTCTAGCGGAGTTCAACCGAATTTGTACATTAGCATGACTTTTGTTTCTCGTTAAAAGGAATATGAAACATGTGGTGAATAATTGTAAGCGTGTAATTTAATGCAGTTCTGGTATTTGCAGTGTGGTATACACTATGGTAAATATACTGGAAATTTGATCCATTTCACCCAGCTCTTCTTATCCAAGTGCACTCCAACGAAATCAGTCACACAGATAAGAATGTTTAATTGTTCAGTATGCTCAATTGAGAGTACTAATGTGATCAGCACTTTCAACTTTTATAGAATATCACAATACAATCATTGCTCAAGATTGATTTCAAAAGGCATCGTCAAGTGTAAATTGTCACATATTTTTAATCACTAACTCTGAAATTCTTGCCAGGCATTTTATATATAGGCGTATCTACTTACATACTTGCATATGTATATACAGATATACTTATTGACGTATATAATCGTATGTGCTATTAAAAGTTTGTCTCGTACAAGGTATCTAAATAGATGGCTGTAATTTCACTAACTATTGATCGATCTGACACTGTTTGCGAGGTGCCATAAATTGCAGCCTAGAATGAAAAATTGCATAACGTATAAGTACACGTTTGTATTTCAAATAAAATATTAATGTTTTAGCAGTACGCACCACTCCTGTTGTTTCTGAATCTGGATCACTCATTAATACTTCAACCGCATCTCGGATATCCTTCAAGAACTTGTCTGCCACCCCTGGTGCAGTTTGGTTATACGACAGGCAGAAATGGATACTACGCATCAAGTGAAATGATTAGACATTGAAAATAAAATACTCATTAATTTTCACCTGTTTCTTGTGCTTACATACCTGGACGGAAATTGCAACGCGTTCATAACCCAACCTTTCGATTTCATAGCTTCGAGTAATCGATAAATATCAAACTCTTCAGATTTCAGAGCAATTATGCTTACTTCTGGATTTCCCATAACGTCAATTCCTTGAATTTGCTTCAACCTGTGAACATGTTCTCACACTTATTTTCTAAAAATATCCAATGAAGTACAAGTATTGTATACACACATTTCTAGCAAAGTTGGACTTACTGATATTTAATATGTCTAGCAGTTTGAATAATACTCTTGGTCATGTCGACATAACCCGACATTCCAAAGTATAACATTGTTGTCCAGCAAACTGCGATAAGAGCCCCTAAAAATTCATCGTGTACTAAAATTGTATTATTCATTCAAACTAAATGCTTATTAAGAAATAACCTGCTCGAGATCCTGCGAGTGTCTGTGAAGCATACAGACCTCCGCACCACTCGGTATGGATAAAGTACTGATACTGACGAAGCTTTTTACTCCGGAACAGTAAAATTGACGACCCTTTCGGAGCAGATCCGTACTAGGAATAGAAATAATTGACAAAATTAGTAGTATTTGAATTAGCGACGATGCAATTACATCACACAGGGGCAAGTGATGCGTTACTTTGTGAGTGTCTGCAGAAATGCTAGTAACTCCTGGAAGTTGGAAGTCGAACGGTTCCAATGGAAAGCCAGCTTTCGACATGAAAGCAATCAAAAATCCACCAAGGCAAGCTATATCCACCCGACACACGGTATATTTATTATGCATAAATATTTCAGCTTACTGTGCAGAAGTAGAACAAATGTATTTATAAAGCAACCATTCCTTACTCACCGTCCACATGAACCGGAATATTGTGTTTTAATCCAATTTCCGAGATTGCTTTAATGTTATCCATGCATCCATGAGGATATGCGGGCGCGGAGCCAACAATCTAAATGTATTTAAACAATGAGAAGAACCTAATAATAGGATATCGTTACTTCAAGTTATTAACAATCAGGGGATGCGTACCATGACTGTATTTCTTGTAATCATTTTTTTCATTGCTTTGACATCAACGGTATAAGTATTCTGGTCAAGGGGGACAGACTTTATTTTAATGTTGTATAGTTGGGCGGCTTTATTAAATGCCGGATGCGCCGAAGATGCTACTAGGATTTCTGGGTGTAATATTCCCAGCTCAGTTGTCCCATAATCTCGATATGCCTTCACGGCTAGAAGTATGGATTCGGTCCCACATGATGTTACCTTAAATATAAATTTGAGTTCTTTACACATTTATCAAATTATGGGGAATGTAAAAAAAATACCGATCCGCATGATTCTGAGTCTCCGTGAAAAAGATCAGCTACCATTCGAACAATTTCAGCTTCCATCTTTAAAATCCCCGGAAATACTTCGGCATGAAGGGTATTCGACCAAGATGACATCTCGTACACTTTCGTATTAAGTTTTGTCAGCCCTTCTCCTCCATGATAAAGCGCTCCGGACATGAGACCACCATCACTCCCATTGTAACCTGGTTTTTAAATTCAAAATATCTATACTAGATTTCTAATGCCTATATTAATTAACGCTAGTTACCTAATTTTAAGTACGATTCAACCTGCACAAGAATTTCACTTGAACTCATGGGACCTTTGGGCAACACAGTGATGAACTTGCAGTTTTCATTTCCTCCACGATACAGTTTTTCCACATTGTCGGTGATTGATTTAGCCGATTTTGCCAACTCTCGGTCAATAATAGACTTTATAAAAGGGATGCGATTTCTGATTCTGAAGAAAGTTCGCTTTACACCAGCATAAATTCCTAAAAGTGGCAATATTTTACATTAACATCACGATACGATTTGAGCAGTAATAAAATAAATAATTTGATCACACCATCATTTGGAATACGAATAACCATGTAATGAATCCCATAAGCAATTATCCCAGAACCTCCGACAAGTACGAGGGGTTCATATGCGACCAAGCGCCGATTAAAAATTTCTCGTAAATGCTGTCCCTCATTTAAAATGTTCGAAAATATTCCTCGAAAGGCGTCCGACTGTAATTAATATTTCCATAAGAGTTATTAATAGCATATAATACAACCGGTACATCTTGTATACATACAACAAGTGTAATTTCGGATCTCACTACATAAAGATCTTACTAATCCTAAGTACGTATCACCGTATACTTACCATTATGGTTGTTTCTAACTTCGTCAATTCCAAATGTGGAACACTCATGCAAATTAGCCCGTGGATGGTTTTATTCTGTTATAAAGAATATATCTACATGTGCATGAACTCGAGTCCTTCGAATTAAATAGATTATTATCGCAACGCATTGTAAATTTTAAATGGATCTATTGACCCATCATTACATAATCTTATCTTCACTCATTCCATTCTGTTATTGACAGTGACACTGCCCACTCATATCCAAAAATTATGTAAGATAACGATGCGTTCCCACTTTTAAACTAATTCAATTCACATGCAGGAATCTCAAAATCGCATGCACATAAAATGAGACCGAAGACATAAGACTGAAATGTATGCATGGAGAGATGACGATGGTAATGATAGGGGTGCAGTTTTTAGTGGATGACCAATTTAAAAAATCTGTAGTTTGGGGTAATTGTCATATATTTCTATCTTATAAGATGGCTAAAGGCTACATTTTTATCATTTACTAGCCTAGCATACAAATTTTGGATAAAATGCATAGTAAAATTGGTAACGTACATAGATGTAAGTATGAACTTGATCGTCCACACTACCCCAGAAACAGGGGAAAAGTTGAATATTTGAGCGGAGTCATATAATAACATTTTCATGACACAAATTGTGTGTAACACAATTATGAAATAACTTGTCAACTATAATTATTATACTTGAACTGCTACGTTCGTTCAGACCAACAAGGATGAAGTTTCGTGGAAAAATTACGGATGCTCACTACATCCGATTATTTTCTCGTAAGTCGAATTATAAAATTAAAAATTTGCATGTATTGTCGTTATCCTCGGTTTCTTCTGCATGTATGATGTTTTCTCATTAAAAAAGTGTACTAAAGTTATTGATGCACACAGATTTCATCGGGACGCTGAACAAATTTTCAAAGGTGATGGTGCTGCGAGTGATGCCGGACAAGTTGGCATTTCTTCTCCATGATAAATTGAACTGGTCAGGGGCGGATACGGGAGTTGGGAGTCAAACGGTGGGGGGTGGAGGTGTAGGCGGCGGGGCAACGGCCTGGGGCGAAGTCCCAATCCAACCCTACTTCTCAGAGTTCAAAATGATAGGCATTTCTCAAGAGGAAAATGAAATATACATGGAACTTGGTGCAGGTAAAATTAGTACGAAAGATGGATTCAATTATCTTGCATTGTCTCCTCTAGCTAATTATATATTCCATATTTTATAGACGCGTTTGCATCGAGCCTAAGTACATTAAAATTGGCACAGGATGGCGTGTGTTTGAAAATGAAACTCACAAAAAAGGTGGTTCCCTGTCTAACGCTGGAAATTGGAGAGGTGTGTACCGCTGTTTCATTTTAGGATACTATTTTACTTATGTACTGACTAAGTGATTGGTGTGTACGTTTACAGCTAGGCAACAACATTTCACTCACATGTACTCACGACATTGCTGTCCATATAATTCCAAAGAAAAATTGGTCTGATTATCAGTGTCCAAACGCCCTTCTGTTCAATGTACATAAATCTAACATTTTAAAGTGAATGGGATGTGAATGTGATTACTAATAATGACGATATTTTCCTAGATAAGCTTAACAATGCCAGAATTAAAGCACCTTCGACTGATGATTGAGAGAATGAGAAACGTTTCTCAGAAGTTAATTTTTAAAATGGGCAAGGAAGGGAAATTAGTCTTGTCGGTGGTTACTTACAATGTTGAAAGCAAAGTCACATTCAACGATCTTACTGTAATTGGTATGAACATGCATTTCACATTTCCTTATTTATTCATTAGAAAATTTATTGCATTGCATGCTTTTTTATTGTTTAAAAGATTCCAGTGATGACGAAGATCGTCCTTTAACGCCAGTTGTTCATGGATCTGAAGCCCATTATTCAGTTGAGGTGGATATGAAATCGATTTTACACCTATTGCCTCCTGAAGGAGCAAAACCAACTTCCATGATTTTCAGTACGTAAGCCCCGTAAATTAAGCCAATTCAAATAAAATAATTACTTTGAGCTACAAATACTTGTTTTAGGTATAGCTGACAGCCGCCTGCTTCATTGTTTATTTTATTTTGGTGATCTTCAGATCCAGTATTTTGTACCAGGTATTCGACATATTTTCAGAGCTAGAAAAAAGATGATTTAAATTGCAATACAGTTTAATCAAAATTTTATTAGTAAATTGTCATTTGCAAAAAAAATCATCCAACATAATTTCTTAACTAATCGAAAGAATATCACGCGAATATGATAGCAAGTAATTTTTATTTTTTCAGGAACAGCAGCGATATAGCCTGCGAGACAAGATTTTTGTGTGATAACTTTGTAAGGTCTTTAAATATTACATACATAATATTATTTTTAATCCAGTTCCGCAGAGACCAATTAATATTGATCAACTGTATTTGACTAATCTTCGTTTTGTAATGTTTTGTGGAAAATATTTTATTTTTAATAAATTTACATTACACAGCAGGCAAATCATCAAAATTTCATTGGCAAAGCGGTAGATACTAATAATTTCGAAATAGCATATTTTGGAAACACCGGTGTAAATATACATATGTATACGTGTACAGATATAAGATTGCATAGGTAATTCAACAAGTCTTGTTTTGGAACTTTATATATATTTATCATTCTCTGAAATATTCTCATTCAAAGAAGCTGAATCATTGTTTGAAAAGTGTTGGACACGGACATGATTTTCCTCAACCAGTTTCGCTACTTGGCACTCGGTTGAAACTAATTTTATCAGTTTCAATTGGGTAATATGTTTTTCATGCATAAAATTCGGCCCATGAAGCATTTTGCAAAAAATTCCTTATTTTTAAGTACACGAAACTTCAAGTTCTGGTTCTGATTTAAATATTTAAATTTACATATGTGCTTAGTAAATGTATGCACAACGAATGCATAAGCCGTAGGACATCATATACATACACGATGCAAATGATTTCCAGCACATGTACTTTTCAATAATGAAATTTTCATACATCTGATAGTTAAATATCAGATGTATAATAACAGCGTCTATTTTTCATTTTGCATCGATATGGCCTCGATGGGATCATACAGTCCCAGATTTAGATTTGGGAAGATGTTAGTTAATGTCATTAACGGCTTAATGACGTTCGAATTAATACCCCCAATGAAGAAAGCTGCATGGTTATATACGTACGTTCACACTACTACTATTTTCTTTGGTTGGTCTAGTTCTAGTTCTCGACTAAAGTGCAAGGAAAATATCAAATCATTTCGTGAGCATGGAATAAATTGACACTTGAGAAGAATCAAAGAGAATCTCATCACTTTAGATTGCAACAAATTAGACGCACTCCAACTTTTGTGCTTAGGTGGTCCTCATGAAATCAGATTGTCAGCAGGGACTCATTAAACTATTGCTTTTTCTCGTCATCTTATTGTCATGTTAATGCTGCTGACATTTGAATCACAAGTCTCAAACTTTTTGAAATCACTATTTACTTTTCGACCATCTACGGATAAAATTTAAGAGACATTCATTAATACTAACTGTAGTATGTATAAGAAGCATGCCTACATACATATATGCAATTACTTCCTTAAATCAAACGAGTTAAACGTTCTGAAGTAGCTTGGTTCAGTCACGGTATAAGCAACTCACCAACTCCTAATACATACAAAAATCTGTTGGTCATTCTTCTTTCATTGCTACATTAAAGTTACAGACAGCAAATATGTAGTATACACATACATGCATACATAAAAGAATATACAATTAAAACATTTAAATGATTGAATCCATGAATCTGAATCTAATCTTATTATTTTAACACGCTTTTCGCGTAGGAGAAATGACAAAGGATCTAACTACCTCAAGTTGTCAATGGGCAGATGAAGAAATTTGGTTCAGATTCAGACAATGGACAGTGATCTTGTAAGGTTAACGTCCAAGGGATTGTTTTTTAGAAGATGTGAACAATTATGAACATATATATTATAAAATGAGCTTGGTAAAATCCATATTTAAATGCGCCTTTCATTGAGTTTCCGTTTATCTTGGCAATCTCAGATTTGATATTAATTAAAACCAATTGTAATATATTTGATTACGAAACGCACCACTGACCTAAACAGAAATAGAAGCTTTTTTTATTAATTTTTGCAGACAATTCTTATGTCCATACAGACTTGTGTGCTATAAATCCATCATGTTGTATTAAAGTATAAAACATGAGAAAAACGTAAAAGGCTTCTCATATCATCAACATCATCAATCTACTTGAAGTGACTTGTCAGTTTTGTTTGTTTTCCATATTCTTTGTATTTTACTTGGTGCTCGCACTGATCTACTATTCTTCATGCAATTATCTACTCGGCAAACGGAAGCTAATTAATGAACACTTGTGTCAGGTTTGATACATGAGTTTGCAACCGTCGGCATTAATAGTTGCGTATGTATTTTAATAAGACACAAAGGTGTCAGCTAATAAAATATTGCAAAAAATTTTCAATTTGCAAAATGTTTCTAATAAACTTGATATGCAAAAAATATTTGCCTCCTACATTTTACTACTATTTACATACATACGTATAACGGGAGTACAAGAGTTGCCCACAAAATTTAATCACAGATCACAATGCGTATAAATACCTTGTCATATTAATGGGCCAAAATTGACCATCTTCACATGATAAATGAAAACCGTAAATATTATGCAGAAATATCATATGTGCGTTTGAAATTTTTCTCACAAAAACTGTACAGAGAATTTGTAAGATGCCAGTGCATAGTAAAAATGCGTGTCCGATATGTTAATGTAAAAAAACTGCCCATCGGGTAACATGTGTAAATGAATAATGTCCATAGTTAGTCAAACTGCCATGATGAGAAAATAATTCGAGCTAAGAATAACTAGATCTCACTTCGATTGATCTACATATAAATATGCATAATTGATCTATATTAATGTTGCGCTTCTAACTTTCAACAATCTCTTAACTTGATCATCCTAATTTGCATAATTTGACATGCCCTTTAAAAATTGGATAAATTCCAAATTGCCCGAGATCGATATCGGCTCTAAACCCAAATTGTCATTCTTGTATATCCACTCATTGACAGCATTCCAATTTTTCCCGAAAATAATTAAGCAACATAATGCTAACGGCAATGATAAAGAAAATTGAATACACAATGCAGCACCCATCAGAGAAAGGAGGCGCACATCCCTCATTGCGCATTAACTACCAACTCAAATCAACCCAGACTGATTAAGTTCATCTCCAATCGATAGAAAACACCAATTGTAAATTGGTTCTAATGTCCAACCCGAAAAAAAAATCCCACGGTCTATTACGACTTTTTGCTAAATAAATTGTTACTTGCGGCAGTAGAAACGATTATTTATATACGCAACGCATCAGTAGAAGATGCTTAATTTATCTACTTCCCGACGTTTGACGTTACCCCTCTTCGTTTATCAAGAAGTAGATTTTCGTATTTGCATGCAAATGTACGTATCCCTTACATACGTATACATAGTACATACGTATGTATACATACCCCTTATCAACCACGTACTGTGCGTTTGAATTGAGACGATAATGAATCCTAAGTCTACAGATAATTAATTTCCTTGATTCCATTTCATCACATACGTGCATACCTTCATGTAGTGGAATTAATATGCAAGTTGAAAATGTGAACAATGAAATACGCTCTTCTCCGCTTATGTATTTCGGACGCTTTAAAGGAGTCGGTTTGTGATGAAAATTCTTTCTTTTTAAAGGATAATGAATAGACTCCACTTGAACTGGCCTCAGTTGGCATTTCATTGGCAAACGATAAAGTAGTTTTGGCTCAACTAAATGCAAGCCACTTTTGTACTCGATATTACTGTTTGCATTTTTGATTCGTCATCGAAATGTGGTAACAACCGGATAGGATTTTACTGCATTCAAATATCCTTAGTACATGTGTAGTCGTCAAAATCCAGGCATTTTAAAGTGTAATAATTTTGTAAATTAAAAAATGTCATTACGTCGTTGGTGGAAATGGAAACTTGGTATTCTTAAGACTCCCATCTTTATTGTTTATGCGATTTTGATTGACCAGGTATTTCTAACCAGCGTGACCAGATTGGATTTGCGTATATTTGAGCGATAGAAATTTCTAAGTTATTCTTGTGTATTTCAGACCAATGCACAACAGTTCACTCGGTCATGTCAAGATCCTTTAATTCAGAACCATATCACAACAGGCCACACGTATTGGTATGCTCAATATCTCAACTCCCTTAAGAAACATACCATAAATTTTGCTAAACCGTTTTCTCCATGTGCAGCTCTGAATAAAATTGTAACATTTCAAAGTAATTTGTTTTAAAAATACAATTTCACGAAGAATAAAACATGTTCAAACTTCTTTTTTAATCAGATGCACATTTAAATGATTTTATGTTTAAATATACCTACGTCCAATAACAAGTCTATATGAATCAGTTTGTAGTATTGGTAGTTATTTATTAATAACTACTAATACTAGTTATTAATAGTAACACAATTTGTAATAATGCACGAAAAACCATCTATTTAAATACCTTGGGTTCCCTATAGAAGAGCTTTGATGAGATTGGAAATTAGAAGTGGTGCTAAATATGTATACAGAGAACGAAAAAGTCTGCACTCTAATAGTTTGATGCATTTTGAAGGTTAAAATATTGTTACTAATTGTAAACTATGAAATAGTTACCACGCATGTGGCTACTTCGGAAACCCAGCTACAATGGATTACTCGTCTTGTACAGCGGGTGGAAACTGTCTTTGCAATTATCCCTGTGATTCAGCGGTTAGTAAAATTATACCCTTATCATGATTAAGAGAATGTAGTACATGGTATGTCCTAGCTTTGAAAAGTAACGGGTTTATCAGTATCGCTTCACATTGGGTGTGGCCCAAAAATTGTTATTCTCAATATACAGCCTCCAGCGAATCCGTTCGATACAGGAGTTTGTCCCCCAAGAGCCAATGAACCACCGGATCCAGACTTGACCGCTATGGCAAGATGCTCACAAGAATGTGCTTCAACATGTCCTGGAGGTAAAATTAATACATCGTTGTAAATGAAATTTAGCAAAAGGGTGAACCCAAATGGAATATCGGTGCCTTACATATGCCTCCTTCCGTAAATAACGTCTAACCCCGTCAAAACTAAACTCCGACACTTTATACTTTGATCTCGTCCACACTATCAGAGGGACATGTCGAAATGATGTCGATTTCTGATATCCCAGTCGTGACCTTATATACAACGCCCATGTTCGAACTTAACCTCCTCCCAAAAATTAGAGGCACGTTGGTGAAGACTACATCCTAAGTTCAAACAGGCGAATAAGGCATTGCCATCGAGGGTTTCACCCTTTAATAAAAGTGAGCTTACAGATAAAATAAATTTGCTAAATTTAATATTAAATGAAAGGTCAAGGAAGCATTTGTGGAGAAAGCCTAGGCGCCTTAGGACCAAATGCAGATGTTTATGCGAAGATTTGTACGTGTTATTGCTCACCTCAATCTTGCACACCTCCTACAACAACGCTAGCACCGATTTCTTTCGCCATTATCAAGAAACCTATTTGGCCCTTTCTCATAAAAGCTAAACTGTTAGTGTGGAAAATTGTTCTAATTAAATTGCTCAAATTTGGTTTGATTCTTTTCAAATTATGTTCGCTTTACCTTTTAAAACTGTTCCTGTTTGGGATCTACTATTACACATTTTATGAGTGGATCAACATGGAGGCTCAAATTATTTTTAGGGGTGTCAGATTTGTGTTTGGATCTCTTTTGGACTATTTGTCGTGATGATTGCAATTGCCTTGTTAAATACAATTTATTTATTGATTTTTCATATGTAGTGAAAATGGTGTACAATAAAGACAATAATTTATTTACTCATAACATCGTTATTTCAGTAGCATAATCCCATGTTCTCCCATGTCTCATGAGGAGATTTACTTAGTCATTAGTAAATAAGTAGGCTTCATGAAATCCAATATTGATTGTTTTTTAGGTTGTTTACAAAAGCGAGATGATAAATTCTACATACTTAAATACGAACACAATTAATCGGAATACACATTCTGATGGTTGTCTTTCATGAACATAATCGTTATATGAATTTCAATCATGAACTTTCATGGAGTCAGTAAACGAACTGAGCATATACAACTCTATGGTTGAAGCTCATTATGCCAAATCTCACATTCGCTGAAGTGGGAAAGAATTGAAATGCACTGACTTGCCGGAAAAGCGAAATCTATTCACTTTTCATTCTTCTAAAGTCAAGTCACCAGTGTTTTCTCTTTCTAAAAGCTGTTAACTGTTCGGAATTTACTAACATGGGTCGCCGTTCTCCTGAAAAGAAGAAGGATGACAGAGTATTTCGTCGTCTGCCAAAATGTGTCGTGCCGGTCCATTATGACCTTTGGTTCCAACCCTCAAACCATGAACCTGTACTTCACGGGAAATTGTCCCTTAGAGTTCAAGTATTTGCTACAAACCTTATAAAGCATCCATCTAACTTAATTTAATTCCACTACTAATTTTAATAGGTGATGTGTGAAACACGGGAGATAGTTTTGAATGGACTCAACATTTCGGTATCAGATGTGAAGTACACGTGTGAAGGTTCCAAAGGGGTGCAAGAGACGGGAAACATTTTGATAAATGGCGAAATGGAAACCATTCAAATTGAATTTCCAAATCCACTTACTGTAGGATTTGGAACTTTGGCACTAAATTTCGAAGCAGAAATTACTGATAACATGAAAGGTTTATACCGGACAAAAGTAGGTGATGGCAAACGGTACAACTTTATAACTCACTTTGAACCAGTCAATGCAAGACGATGTAAGCTTATTCTAAACATAGACAAATTGCATAGTATGAGTTTAGTACCAACAGCAATGATATTTCCTTAGGTTTTCCTGGATTTGACGAGCCTGCGTTTAAAGCTACGTTCGATATTACGCTGGTTGTTCCGAAGGATGTGGTTGCGATTTCTAACATGGTATGAAACCAATAAAATACTATCTTCTGCTTTAACCCGACCTCTCTTGATTTACCCGTTTAGCCGATTGAAGATGAAAAAGTAGACGAGAAAAACGAAAATTTGAAGGTGTGCAAGTTTCAAACAACTCCAAAAATGTCGACATATCTTATCGCAATGGTTATTGGAGATTTCGAGCACATTCAGAAAACCAGTGAGTGTGGAACTCTGGTGCGTGTATTTACTTCTCCGGGAAAGACATGCCAAGCAGATTATTCATTAAATTTGGGTAATAATAATAATAATAATAGCCTTTATTATCCTCATTTACTAGTACTAGGGAATGCACAAAAATGAATTTAGCATAGCACACTAGCCTATTTTCGTGAGCTTACATCCTATTTAAGCCATTACTACTACCGTCAACGACGTCAAATTATAAATTTAACTAGATGAACAAAACAAAACTAACTCGCTACCTACTGGCGCGACTATGTTGGTTGCATACCAAGACTAGTAATGTTTGTAAAATTTAGATACATATAAGATAATCCAATATTTAACCAATTGACAAATTTTAATTAATAACTTACTTAAATTATAAATTGTGTTGGAAAAATGCACAAAAAACCAACTAAATTTTGAAATACAAACCAATTTTTGATTCCCCAACCAACCGAGGAGTGAGGGACAGAGGCCGCGTGGTAATTCAGATTGTAAAAAAACACATTAAAATAAAGAATTAATAAACAAATTTTGACTGGAATAGTTGACCAGCTTGATAAAGAACGATTTTCGCACATTGCCAATTAAAATTAATGTTATTACCAATTAAATTTAGTTAAAATTAATATAATATAAATAAATTTAGGAGAGCTCGTGCAAGAGCAAATCCTCCTCGGTTGGCGCACAGACGGGGAATAAATAATAATAATTAATTAATTAATAATAAGTAATGCGTATAAGTAATAAGTAATGGTAATTAATAATAAGTTATGCATTTATTAAAAATTAGTAAGCGGAGAGATAATATTATTATGTATATTAATATATCTATGACTGAAGAATATCAATAGTATTTTATTTGTTGTAGCTGCAAACTTAATTGACCATTACACAAAGTACTTTGGTGTTTCGTATCCCTTGCCAAAGTGTGATTTGGTTGCAATTGCAGAATTCCCTATTGGTAATGGCTAATCTGCTAATTGGCTAAGGTCTTGGCTAACGTATTAACATTTTGTTTTGCATCATTACTTATTGGTTAAGGTGGAATGGAAAATTATGGACTCATCACCTTCATCGACACAAGACTCATGGTAGACCCAACGGAATCATCAGCCTGGAACATACAAATGACTTCTTTAATTGTCGCCCATGAAGTAAATCGATAAATTTAACTTTGGGGAATAATTTTGATGTTTTATAACGAAATTTTGAATTACATAAATAGGTTTCTCATCTATGGTTTGGAGATCTAGTTACGATGAAGTGGTGGATAGACCTTTGGTAGTACAATACTTATCTAATATAAATTAAAAACTTAATCAGCTGGGATATTGTAATAAAATCTGAAATTTCGAATTTTTTCTTCCAAATTTGATGTCCCTAAAAAAGGCTAAAGGTTTGATATATTTCTAAAAAGATAGATACGTACTGCAAATTCTCTTTTCGGATACCTGATTAAGCCGTCTTATTATAATTTAATTTATATATTACAGGAAGGATTTGCCAAGTTCATAGAATATCTTGCTGTTGATCATTTCTTTCCGCAATTTGATATTTGGACACAATTTGCTTCTCGTATTCTCCATTCGGCACTTGCCACTGACAGTCTGAAGAATAGTCACCCTGTTGAGGTTGAAGTGACCAATCCGGGTGATATTGATGAAATATTCGATGTATTTGTTTATAAATAAATATTTATAAATATTTATATATTTGTATATTTGATGTATAAATATTTGTTGCAAGGCTTTGACGTACAACAAAGGATCCTCGATCGTCAAAATGATGTATCATTATGTGGGTGACGAATGTTTCAGGAAAGGAATGAAGCAATATTTGGAGAAATTCAAGTACAGTAATGCGGAAACTGCTGATCTATGGGAAGCTTTAGAAGCAGCAAGTGGGACCCCTGTGGGAAGGTTCATGGACACTTTCACGAAACAAATGGGTTACCCTATTGTTACCGTTCTTGACGTTGTCTCCACCGATTGTGGCAAGACTTTTACTTTGAAGCAAGAAAAATTTTGGGCTGACCCAAAGCTCAATGAAGCTGCATCAAACTCAAACTACAAATGGATCATCCCACTGACTTGTTGTAAAGGGTCGAAGCCACTTGAAGTCACGGTTTTGGAATTATTCGACGGCAATGAATCTAATCTGAAGGAAGTTGCAGTGACCTGTGCTTCTAATGATGAATGGATAAAGGTGAATACGAGATTTTTTTAAAACTTTCTATTGGTTATGAATTATAAAGTATTTATTATGTTCCTAGTTTAATGCTGGATCAGTTGGTTTTTACCGTGTTCGTTACTCAGCAGAAGTGTTATCCCAATTTACAAATTCTATTAAGGATAAATCAATGTCCCCGTTGGATAGACTTGGATTGCTTAATGATGTTTACGCATGTGTAAAGGCTGGGATCAGTTCAACAACGGATGTGAGAAAATGAACTTCTAATGTCGAAATTAAACTTGTTATTCTAAAATAAGACTAAACGAGTATAATGCTTCTGTAATTTTATATGCTTTAATTTTTCGTCAATTTCTGAAATAGATTTTAAACTTGCTGGATTCGTTCAAGCTTGAAGATAACTACAGTGTATTGAGTTCAATTCGTGACATCACAGCCGACTTGTCCAACTTGCTTCTTCGCACTGATCTCGTTGACAAGTTTGACACTTATTGCACCAGTCTTTTCACACCGATAAAAGAACGAATGGGATGGGACCCAAAAAATGGAGAAAGTAAGTAATTTATTAGAAACAATAAGTGACGGCTCAACGAAAGTAGTTCTGATGTCTTTATATATAAAATAGCTATAAATCTGAGTTCGAAATAACTGACAAAACTTGGTGAATTATGAATTTACGACCAAAAGAATCACATCAAGACACAGGAAATTGTTATCCTTTGTCTCTTTTTATTTCATTTATTTGTTTGGATTGTCAGGCCATGCAGACGGTCTTCTTCGATCTTTGGTGATCAATAGACTCATTTCCTGCAAAGATGAGACGACTATCAATGAAGCTGAAAAAATGTTTGACCAACATTTGAAAGGGGAGAAAAAAATTTCTGCAGATCTTAGGACAGCCGTGTATCGTGCTACTTTGTTCAAAGGAAATGAAAAAACTTTGGATACCATGATTGAAGTAAATGAGGAAACATTGAAATAAATTTCTCTCAAAATACTTTTTTTTTATTTTAAAATGCTTTCACTTACCCTTCGTAAGCTTAAATTGCTCTTGTGTGAATTAATAGATATTTAAAAATTGTGAGCTGTCTGAAGAAAAAGCAAGAATTCTTCAATCACTTGGGAGCACCAAGGACATAAATTTAATGAAAAAAATTTTGGATTTTGCCCTCAGTCCTGATGTCAAAATGAGTGAGATCGACTATATTTTCTACTCTTTGAACAATTCCAAACATGGTCAGGATTTAACCTGGCAGTTTTTCAAGGATAACATTAAACTGTTTCAAGAAAAATACCCGGTCAGTTTTTTATACAAATATGTACATATATCAAAGTTGCATGCTTATTTGGAAAATAGAATTGTTACTATTTGTATCTATATAACATAGGGTGGAATGCTGATATGTTCTGTCGTCAGAGATGTGACGGGCGGTTTTGTGGGAGACGAATTTGCTCAAGAAATAGAAACATTCCTTAAAGAAAATCCAATTCGAGGAACAGAAAGGACTGTCCAACAAGTTGTTGAAAAAATTCGTATTAATGCAGCATGGTTAAAACGTGATCTTAATGCAATTTCAACATTCTTGGGGTCAAAGTAACTTAGATATTTGAACTATTGGATTTATTAAAACTTGTGATTTGTATGGAATGACACATTCAAAATTAATAAAACTTACTTAAACATAATATTTATATGTATGTATGATGTACATTATATGTATTTGTGATTTATATTACGAATACTCTGTCCATGTGCACAATAACAAACCCATCCTATTAATTTTAAATGTTACATAAACCGTCTTCAAGTTCGAAGTAAGGATGCGTTCGAAAGTGTGCATGAGCCGTAAGGGCGTGTACCCTTGAAAGGGCGATTTTGAGTTTTACAGCACTAATCCTAAGTTTTATAACTGGTCATCTAAAGCTGAACTTCATTTTTGACGTATGCCATCCAAACAACTAAGATGAAATTAAATTTCAAAAACTGAGGCTATTAAACGATAGAAATGCCACTGTATGAGCATTTGCTATCTAAACACAAGGATTAGGTAGTTGGGTTGTAAAGCTATCCAATTATGGACTAGTTTAAGACGTTACAATCCTCCGGACCACTGAACAACAATATAAAATTTTGTTCCAACCCTTCTATCGCTGTATATATTTCGTCTTGTCCTGCTAATAATCTCACCGTATTTGTAAATGCATGACCAGAAGATCACGACAGGGAGGGAGAAAAGCAGCGAATAAAATTTCCTTCTGCCGTGCCACGACACAGCCTCCTCGATTTTCGAGTAGCGAGTCCTGCTCCAAGCCCGTGCGTGTAACGTTTTATAGATCAGTGTCCAGCAGAAGCTCTGGAATGATATCCCGTTCACATTGCTCTGAGACTCTCACTCGCATTGCGTTGCTCTAAAGTTCAGCTTTATTAGCCTGCAAATAAAATCCCAAATCCGGGTGAAAGTCTGCTCAGTTGTCTTGTCTCGTTTTCGCTAGAAACTTGCTAACGGAGATACTCGCATTGGCACACACACAAAAGTTCTCACTTTTCGCCGGTATATTGCGTCTTGCTATAAGTTTTTGAGAAAGTGCTTTCTAAAACTCTTAATAACATTATATAAAATTACATACAAAATTAACATTCCATTAGGTTTCGAGTTTCCTATTACATCTTACAGCCTATTTAAACGTTATTCCGGTTACGTATATAAAACTGTTATGCTACACTGCATGTGCTAAGTTAATCCTTCCAAGTAAAATAATACACAGTTAATAATAAGAATAACAAAAGTAAACAATTCTGTTCCTCTTACATGTAAAATATATAGAAATACTTGAGATTAGTATTGTTTGCTCAGCTTATTAGATCAAGCAACGCCAAACCAACATTTCTACACAGCATCGTCCTATGTACTTTTACGTGAGCAGGAAGATCATTAAGTATGAATAAGATTTAGAGCCCAGGATGAAAACTTTGCAATCTGCACTAATTAGTCCGGTGTATCAGGAAGTTTGGATAATTCATGCTAGCTACAATTTCTAGGTAAGGATATATCATTTAGTACTATTGATTTTATATTTAGTGCGGCGTAGAAAATAAGTATATATAGTAATTAAAATACGAAAAAATATTTCGAGAAGTTAAGTTAACATTTACGCGTAAAGAAAAGGAGGAAGCCTGGGCGAGAACAAACAAATGTTTGGAGATACCTTACAACACTTGGGACGAGAGAAAGTGGTTCATTGATGTAAACGGAGTCATAAATACTAATCCAGAGTAAACTACCATTATTTTACGTGAAGATAAAATACTCCTTTATCATCATGTCACGTCGTCTCCTTCCATCCATCCCGGCAGTTAAAATACGACAAGGCTCAAATCTAATATCAGTGTCAAACATCATCATCACTTTACACGCCTTTAACTCCTCCACATTCAATCTCAATCTAGGTAGATTATAAAAATTCTGTCGTTAAGCGCATCAAGGGCTGTCGTCTAGATTTTCACAACCATTTCCGTATCTCACATTAGACTACTTAACTACTTCTGGCTGCTTGAAAATTAAAAAAGGTGTATGTAACATGGGTGAGTATAATTTATTTTGGGGTTTGATTACAGTTAAATATTTTAATTAAAAGTGAGCAGTTGCAAAAAAGTTACATATTTTTCATAGGCATGCAGACTACTTGGAAGAATTGCATGTAACAATTGGACCAACATTTCCTTTTGTTGCAAAAGTACAAGTGCTGACACAGCCTGAAACTCGTGAGACTTGATTCCAACGAAAACTAAATGAAAGAAAATGAAGTGAGTTCTAGTTCATTTATTGTATTTGTATTTTTGTGAATCTAAAAACTAAACAAATATTGGTTTTCTTCTTCAACTTTTTCAATTAAGATGGGAACATCTTGGAATGTAAGAGAAATATAATAAGAGTTTTTATAAAAAAACACACTGTTAGGTAATTCAATGGTGGTACTACAGAAGTGAGGAAAAAATTACAGAAGTAAAAGGACACTGGTTTAAACCAAGTACGTCAAAGTAGTTTTGTTCACTGCCTCCCACTTCGCAGAAGCAAAATAACACTTTGAAAAGAATTTTGAACAAAAAAGTTCATCCTACAATTAGTGTAGGAGGAACGTCTCAGCAAAAATGTTTGCAAATTCAATGACGCTGAAAGTGTAAGTTACGGACCTTTTCTACTGGATTTTGTATATACTTTTCTAATCCATAATCCTCTCTTTTCTCTCACGTACATATATAACAAAATATTGTCAACACTTCATAAATCTCGGGAGTAGCCAGGACAAATTTTGAGTTTTTCAGTTCCAAAAAAAATTGCAAGGTTTGCCAAGACGAAACGAAATGGCGTAGGACGAGGACGAGAGAAGGAATGAAATTGAGCTTGGTTGGATTTAGAGTCGGTAAGGATGTAATAAGCTTGTCAAGTCAACTTCTACGCTCATGTAGCTTTCTCTCAACTCAATTTCAAAATTTTCGGCTCAAGTTTGGTTCAGAATATTCATGATCGTACACATTTCAACGCAGCGGATAAAGTAAGCGACGAATGTAGGAGAGAGAGAGAGAAAGTGTATGCGTGTATAATATGCAAAGTAGACTTCAATTCAACCCCCAACATTTGGCATTCGTTGCTTTGCTACAACCAAAGAGTGAATTTCTTTGCACTTGAAAGAGTTTCAAATGTATAGTGATCACCCAACGGAACAAGCGTTTGGTTTGTGCTAAGGTTTGGCAGGAAAAGAGAAAGCGGTTTCTATTACCTTGGAATAATTTTTCTCAAAATCCCCTCCGCTCACATAATCAAAAGCAATGGATGACATTGTTCCAAAAAAATTTAAAAGTTAACGAGATTTTGGTTGGCAAGAGATGTTACATGGTGGTTGGCTGGCTATACATATATGTAAATGACATTCACCGTGTTTCGTAAACTGGGAGGGTAGATATGCATGTGCAGACATAGACAATCAACACGGTAGCTGCACGAACAAAGGTGAACAGTTTGGTGATGTGACATTCTAATTTAATCAGATGCTAAAAGCATAGGATTTCTGGGAATTGACATGTGGTCGGATTACCGTTGACTGAGTTTGCCAAGTTAACATTCTCTTGCCATGTTTACTTAAACCCAACTTGCAAAATGCACGTTACATGTTGAGATAATGGGTTATGCAAGAGGTGAGCACAATCAATGCAATCAATGATTATGCATTTGGATTTAAATCAGGAGCTTTTGTAGCCGAAACTAATTTTAGCTCCAGGTAGAACAATTAAAATAATTGAAACTTAATTGGAATACCTATGTTTGCTTGTTGTTTACTTTAATTCAACTTTGGTAAAATATATACTTAATTTTTTATTTTCAAATATTTATAATTTTTTTAGTATGCGTGTTGTATATTAAATAATACCAATTTGTATCTGGCATAATGATGTATGATCGCTGTCAACATAATAGAAAGAAACAATGAATTGTGCATAATCGAAGCAGAACTTCTAGTTCCGTGTTATTCTGCACAGAGTATAAATTTCAGACTTTCGGAGTAGTAATGTGTGCAGGTGTAGGCTCGGAATTCTAGCAATGTGTGTCGCAGCTAGGAAACGTGGCGAAAGTTCAGACTGCTTCAAATACGGAAAACCACGCAACCACTAACCAGAAACGCAAACCACCCACTTTCACCATCCCTGACTGATCATCATCGCCTTGTTTGTAGCAGGGCTCCTTGATCCTGTGTGCACCAATTGATTTCGCCGAGGTTCAAACTTGCCTTGCTTTATATGCATATGTAGTCAATGTTTTTGTTGTTTTGTTAGAATATTTACACCCACCACAGATCATTTATTACTCAATTTATTAGGGTATCACTCTATTGCACCTGCTCCTTGTGCATGGCTCGTGTTTCATTCAGTGTGGTTTTTGATTCGCACGAGGTCATCACTATTAAAGGAAAATCAAAAGGAAATAAAGTCCCACTAGTTGGAATTAAGCTTGGATGATACAATGCGGATATTTTATTTACGCGTAGGAGGCATACGTACATAAATATTTATAGCGAGTGTAGTTAAAAGTAACTGCACCTATGTATGCGTATGTACATCTAATGAGCTGGTAAATAAATGCATGGATAAATAGAGCTAACAAGAATACCACGTGCAGATAATGTATGTAGGTACGAAGTTTTCGGTGTTTATTGTTATGAAGTATGATCAGCAATACGCAAATCCTTGTTATGCGATCATATTTTATTTCTTTAACTGTAAGTTATACACATAGGTAGAACATATGCAAACTACAGTTCATACATACATACCTTACCCACATATGTATGTATGTTGGTCACATTCGTTAAATATGTACACATCCTTTATTATTTACGTTTCCGAAAACACCATGAAACATGCGGGTAGAAGAACTGTTGGTTGTATAGTTTTTCTGATTTGTAAATCATAAATAAATAGCTACATGGTCTCCAATCAAATATTGATATTGAACAAGAAGACAAGACAACAACGGCAAATTGCAATCAGAAAATGGGACAATTCGAGATATTGCCTTTCCTTCTCTCTCTCTTCACCCTCTTCTCAACAACACCACATCAGGATCATTGAGATGCAAAAACATGCATACAAACTTATGAAGAACATCCGCAAGTCGCACAAAGTTCAACATACACAAATACACTCTACATGTACATACACATACATACGCCTCAAGTCAGGAAAAAGTGAAGACAACCAAAAATATTTTTTCAGCCCCCCATTTCATTCCTTCAAAGTACCGCTGCTGTATCAAACTGATTTCTTTTTACAACCAGTTTGCATAATAATATTGATCTCCACATCATCGTCATGTGTGGAGTAAAGGGTTCCAAGTAAAAATGAGGAAGGAAAAGTCAAATCAAAATCAACCATCAAATATTTTCAGTACGCACATGTTTAACGGATGCTGCATTTTTTTATGATTCTCTCCGACACTGATAAGAATGAATACATTTTTAACATCCATTTGTGTCCATGTACACACATACACATACATTCGGCATTTGGCTTGAGGAGCATTTGAAAATGTTCTAATAGTTCAATTTGCGAATAAAGCTTTTTGGTAATCGTTTGGTGGTTGTCGTGAAGAATTTCGACTACAATTGATGTCGGTCAAATCTATGATTTATTTCCATAAATTTCATTTTTCGTTTTCCTAAACAAGCAAATAACTGGCATTAAATCAAATGTCAGTCTCATATGTTGTAGAATTTTGCCTAATATCATTGCCTTCAGAGTTTAGAATTTATTTAACAAACAAATGTTGCATATCTGGACAAATTTTGTTTTACTTCTGACGCATCTCTCAAGTGTAATGTGAAAAGCCTGGAAAACTACAACGTAACATAACGAAAAGTAAACTTGCAAGTTTGACGTTGAATGTGCGAAATTGCAAAATAAGTAAATGGAAAGAAAGTAATGTATAAGCGTTCAATAAATTGTAAGAGAATGGAACTGAATAGAGACACATACATACATATATACATACGTTACGTACATACATATGCACATAAGGATATACCTACGAGTATGTATACATATGTATGGGTTAAACTTTTTTTCATTTTTTTTGCTTTCTCCCTGGTGCTGACTGCTCCCCATGTAATCTCTAGATTTGCAAAACTCGAGATTTTAGACTGAAGCAGACCTTCGTTGGCAAACATTGAGGGAAGGAATGGAAGAACCACTGGAGGACTAATGTTGTAGTCACCGAAATCAGTGTTGGTCCGTCAGCAGGAAAGTCGAGTCGAAGACTGTGATAAATTGGAGAATTGGTCTCCAACTTTTGCAGTCATCTGGGACAAGGGAAAGCTTTAAAGTCTCGAATCGCTAAAGTGAAAACAGAGCAGAGGGAGTGGAACCGGAGGGACGTTTGCTTCCTTTTTGCTTCCATTACGCCGAATGTGTTAGATTTAGATTGCTTTGCACTTTCTGTGGTGCACTGAACATGATGGTGCGGACACAACACAACAATACACGCAAGA